AACAACAACAAAAACATGTGTATTCATGTGCTTTAGACGACCAGACGTTCTTTTACTTTAAACGTGTACAGTAACCCATTGGGTCAACACCTGGACGTTTTATATGTATATGTTCACCCTCCCTTACTGAATTTTCTTCTTTGATCAACATACAAAACTATGTAATTTTTAAAATAATTTTTTCACAAATTGGTAAATAAATAAAAAATAAAATTTATATTTAAAAACTATATAAAAAATTTTATAAAACAAGAGATAATAAGAATATTTTATTTTATTAAATGATCAATGAAAACATGCAAATAAATAAGAGCTATCGATATATCGCAATAATAATCAGGTAACTCTTTTAGGGACAAAGGGAGCATATTATATATGGAAATAATAATAACAGCTGTAACACATTGAGATTTAAGTACCCCTCTCTGCTTAAACATTTTTTCCTTTGAGATTGCGATGTGTTACTAAAATTATTTTTTAATATTTAATTTATGTGATTATATGTATAAAACAAGTAGTGACATATTTATATTATTTTGTCAAATTTTTAACAAATTAAAGTTTAAATATATTCGAGTAGTAATTGGGTTGTTTAGACGGATGGGAGCATATATGTGCAAGAAAAGAATAAAATAAGGGCAATGACCACAACACCACATGTTGTCGGTGCTACTACTGCCTACCCACTAAATTACCTAATGTTTTGATTAATCTAAAAGCCCCCATTCAACCCCCAAAAAAATGTAAAATCCCTCCATCCCTAATTTAATCGCAAGTTATATGGTACATTCGACAGTATTATCGATACAGGTTATATAGTACATCCGGCAGTACATATCTCTCGGTCAAGCCGGTTGTGATCCGAAGGATCAGCGAAGACGATCGCGAGGAGCAGCAAAGACGATTGCGTCGACAAGGGAGTGGCGGCAAAAATCCTAGGTCAAAGATGGGAGCGGCAAAGACAACGACGTTGATATAGCAGATCGACAAAGACGATGGTGGGCAGTAGCGGACCTAGACTACCCAATGAGCGGTGTCAAGAGTAAAAGATCGAGAACTTCTCAGGCGGAATATATAGGCATGATAAAGNATTATAAAAATGATAAAAAATGATAACAGTAGAAAATATTGAAGTTAATACACATTGCACCGGTAGATAACTAATTTTTTAAACACAATAAAAAGTGACAAAAAATTATGGAGTAATAAATATTTTTCAAATATTCAAATAATTCAAAATAACATAATTATGGAATAGAAAGTATTATTATTAATTATATAAAAAATTATTGTCAATACCTAATACTGTTTTTTAAAAAATTCAGCGGTGTCGGTTGACACCGCCGGACCCCCCCTAGGTCCGCCACTGATGGTGGGAAAAACCTAGGTTACGGCGAAGGCGATGGCGGCGTTACTGATCGGGGAAGTCACCGACGCGGGTCGAAACCCTAGATCCGGTGACATGGAATTGTAGATTTTAGCGACGAAGGACCTCTGCACTGGGAGGCAACAGGCAACTATACTAAGCATACGGCTCCTGCAAGTACCAGATGCAGGCTACAGTCTTTGGCATTCATTTGTGATCAAATTCTAATTTACTTTTTTCCAATAACCGTCCGATCGGGTCTGAGGGGCCCTCGGGGTGTTGTTCATCTTTTCTATTCCTCTTTTGAAATATTACCCGGAGTATGTTTTACGGAGTAGTCACGTTTAATATTTAATACGAGTATTTTTAAAGTTAATGCAACTTTGTAAACCACTTAATTACTCCGTAATTAAGTTATTACCGCAAGAGTTGAAAGTTATCTTGAATTTAGTCAACAATTTAGGCTGACATTCATGAACATTATTAGACCACCGGAAATATCTTAACGCCTGCGGTGTTTTTACTTTTTTAAAATTAGATAATTGACTTAAATAGTACTAAAATATACTTCCTCCGTCCCAAATTATTTGTCACGTTTCTATTACCGAGGTAAAATATCAAGTTTTTTCAATTCATTTTATCTACATAGTGGTAAAGAAATAAAAAATAAAAATTACATATCAAAAAACTACATGAAAAGTTCTTCGAAATAAGAAGTGTCCAGAATATTTTATTTTATCAAATAACCAATGAAAACATAGAAATAAACAAAAGTTCCCGCGACTGTTGAAATAGTAAATGTGGCAAATAAGTTGGGACGAAGGGAGTAGTAAGTTTCCTAATGTAGTATTATACTTCGTATATTTTTATTTTCCCAATATTGTATAACTTATTATTGTCCACCGGTCATTATTCACGTAGGTGTCCACCACCACTGGACATTATTTAAACTAAATGTTCACCATCTCTGGACATTGTTCAAGTACTATTTAGGAAACAACAAGATTTAAGTACTACATTGAAAAATGATATATGTTTTGGTTCTATTTAGTACAAATTTCACTTTTTAATGTTATGGGGGCGTTAAAGAAAAAATTGTGGATCCTCGATTTAATGCCGGAGTATAAAATATACACAAACCAGTTCTTTTAATCTTTATATTCACTAAAGCTAAATAATACTTCCTCCCGTCATAAAAAATTTTCTCATTTTGACTTTTTTTAATCAATCGGTGACATACTTTGACTATAAATTAAACATAATTTAAATAATTAAATGACATAAATTATTTCTTAAGATGAATCGAACTATATTCGAATTATATTATAAATGAATATATTTTTCTCACAATTTATGGTCAAAGTATGTCATTGTTTGACAAAAAATATCAAAACAAGAAAGATTTTTGGGATCGGAGAGAGTAAGATTTAGTGTTTTTCCTAATTTTTTTTGTTTTTAAAATTTAATGTACTTTTTTATCGAATGTAATTTTTATTAAATGAATTATTTCAATTTAAATTTATTTAATTAATGAAATCTTATTAATTATCTCAGATTTACAATTTGTCACTACAACCCAGACGAGGGGGTGCCTACCTACAAAAAGAAACCGACGAACAAAAGAAACACAAAGCCCGCCAAAAAATTCGAAGTCGAGAGATTCACGATGCACTAACGGCGAATATGATCGAACATATTTTTAATTTAGTCGCTCAATTTAATGTTATTTTTAAGTTTTTTACTCGTTCAAGTAATTTTAAGCCTTTCTTCTTTTAGTAATGTAATTTTTAATTTAATGTTTTTTATTTAATGTGCTTTTTTATTTAATGAATTATTTTCGTTTAAATTTAATTAATCAATCAAATGTTATTCATTTAATTTTACAAATGTGCATTAAAAAGTTTTTTTTAAAAAAAAGGTTTGAACCACATTTTGAAATCTTGAGACTTCAAACTCATTTTTAGAAAAAACTATGATTTAAGTTAAAAGCTGGTGTAACAAATAAAAATTTTGAAGTCCCACTTTAAAACCCAAAGCTTCATAATGACCATTTCCAATGCTTTTATATGCATCCAAATCTGATATATATGCGGCATTTGATATTTTATTCTTATGAATGAATTAATTTAGTGAAGTTTGGGATGAGATGCCCACCGACAGTTACGGACCCATGAATACAATCCCTCCTAACTATTAGTATTATTTTCTTGTTTTTTTAGCAAAATTACTTTCTGGTTTTATTGACTTAATTGAAATGTTTTTAATGCCGTAAAATATATTTATTAGTATAAAATTTAAAACTAAATGTATATAGTTAAAAAAAATTTATTAAATACATTCTACAACATAATAGGCCATCTTATTGTTTTGTCTTAAGAAAGTGAATAGTGTAAGGACTTTTCATGTGTTGTCCTTGATGTGATGAAATAAAATGAATAGTGTGTAAAAAAAGTAAGGATATGATGACATATTCATTAAAAGTTTTTTGCTAAAATAGGAAACAAGGAAAAAATTTGGACAACCCAAAAAGAAAAATGAGAAGAAAATTAATGAAAGGATGAAATATATGATAATATATACAAAATAAAAATGATATTTCATATCATCAATTGCGTAAATAAATAACTGAGAATATAATTTCGGGACAAAAAGAGTCCAATAATATGGACTACCTCCTAAGTTCCCCCCTTTCATACTAGTTCACATGCGAAATCATTTTTTTTATCTTTTCATAATTTAAAGGATCATTTAACTAAATAAAATAACTAAATTGCATGCATCTTATTTTTTACTTCCTCAATTTCTCTATTTCGATTTAATCGCTCCATTTCATTATTTAAGCTCAATTTTTTTCGCTACTTATTTTCGTTAATTATTTATTAAAATGACGTACGTCTTGTTTTATAAATAATTTAATGCAACTTTTAATACATAGTTATAAATTTGTTTTGAGATTTTATATACTATAATTCTTTTAAAAAAATGAATTAAAAATGAATTTAGTCGACTATTGTCAGTCGATTTAATTGCTTCACTTCATTATTTAATGTCAATTTTTTTCTCTTTCACCAAAATCTACTTTCAATTAAAAAATAATTTTACCCCTACTAATTTTTACTATACCTATCTTCAAGGCAAATTTAGAAAGTCAATTACAAATAATTCTTTCTTATTTTTGTCCAAAATCAATACTCCGTATAAAAAAAATCTTAAACGGAGGGTGTAATATAATTATTCATTTCATCATCATGATAAAATTCATTTACATGTGTATTGTTATTGATTGTATGATAAAAAAAACATACTAATATCATCACTTTTTTTATTTTTTTATTTTATAAATTTCTTGACGTAAGTTTTAAATAAAATAACTTAAAAATATTTTATTTCACCTAGTGATTTCCTCCCTGTCATATACTCCCTCCGTCCCCAATTTGATTACAAATTTCGGGTTACGGAGTAAAATTTCCTACTTTTTGAAATTATTTTATTTACAAATTGTTATATCAATAAGATATAAAAATTACATATTAAAAAACTACGTCAAAAGATCTACAAAACAAGAGGTGACAAGAATATTTTATTTTATTAAATATTTAATGAAATCGCGTAAACAAACAAAAGTTATCGATAGGAGAAAAAAAAATTGTAATCTATTTAGGGACGAAGGGAGTATTTGGTGGAGGAGAAAATGAATTTATTTTTAAGTTAAAGGAGTAAAACAATAATTAAATAAATTGAGTTATTGAAAATTCAAATAATTTAAAATCGGCTCCACTCAATACTCCGTATATATACTCACTCCGTCTCCAAATAGATTACAATTTTTTTTTTCTCTCCTCTCGATAACTTTTGTTCGTTTACGCGATATTCTTGTCACTTCTTGTTTTGTAGAACTATTGACGTAGTTTTTTAATATGTAATTTTTGTATCTTATTAATATACCAATTTGTAAATAAAATGATTTCAAAAAGTAAAAAATTTGACTCCGTACCCCGCACGGAGGGAGTACTTGTTACTCCCTCCGTCCTATATTGAGCTTCCCAGTTTGACTAAAAGTCATTTTTAAGGGATGAGAAAATATTGCTTTGACTTCCAAAAATACCCCCAGGCAGTGATTGAGAAGAGGGAATGCAGCACAGAGACGAAGAAAATACCCCTCCTTCATCGTTAGAGTACTTCTTAAGCGCCTAGTTGCCGGCAAAGGTCATCACCCCCTTGGTATCGGTGCACAAACCACATACTTCCAAGCGCCTGGTCTTGTGATGAATCGCTGACAGATCTTGGTGCACAAACCACAGATCTCGGCGATATTGTGAATAATCGCCGGCCCCTTGATATCGACGATGATAAGAAATCACAGATCGAAAAGGGGAGATAGACTTGGTAAATTGTTGATCGAAAGGGGAACCAAACTTGAAAACCCGTAGATCTTAGATCTGTGGTTGTGAGGAGGTGAAGAAAGAAGAAGAGGGAAGAGAGACGGAGAAAGTGATATGAAGGAGAGATGGAGGGGGAGGGAGGTGAGATGGAGAAAGAGGAGATGGAAATCGGAGGAAGGGGAAAAGAGATGAAAGGCAGAGACGGAGGACAGGGCAATGATTGAGAGGTGTTAAGGGGTAATATAGTCTATTTACATACTTTTTTTAAGAAGTGGAAAGATGATTTTAGGAAGGGAAAAAAAGGGAAGTGGGAAGATCAATATAGAACGGAGGAAGTATATTAAACCACGCACCGACGTTTGAAAGATGGAACGGCACCGCCATGTGGATAATACTCCGTACTAGTAACTATCAACTCAAATTCCACGTGAATCTGTTGGATTGCCATTACTCCTCATTTTAATTTGTTCAAGACAAGTGTTACTCATATTCATCTAATTTGATTTTTTTGAATTATGAGTAACCTTTAATTTAGTATTTTATTAATTAAAAGTTGTAATATGTTTTCGTATAAAAATTAAATCAAAATGATAATATTTTAAATTCTAATTTATTTTATTGATATGCAACACAAATTAAGAGTAATTAATTATTAGAGTTTATCTAATTTGATTTGAAAAGATCAAACTAAACAAATACACTGGAACGAAGGAAGTAATCGAATAAAGCTAGAGGTACACCAAAAATTATTAACTAGGATACCCCATTTGTTCACTAGGCATTAAGTATATATGATCAACTAGGATACCCCATTTGCTTGATGTTCAAATGGGATTCACAAATTTGATGTACCCCTAGTAATATACTTACCCAGTTGATAAGTTTCTATGATTTTCGTAATTTCTCAACTAAAACCTAGATGAACTTCTGCATAAATCTTGGGAAGTAAGCGGGGAGAAGTTTCAGTACTAAGTTACTAACTTCGTTAATTAATTGAGAGTAGAATTAGTTTTAACTCTCTCTGCTAGACCAGATGATTGATTCAGAGATTCCAAAACTAAAAACTATATATAAGTACAAGAAAAACTTAAAATTGAAACCAAAATAATATATATATATATATATATATATAAAAGAAAGTTATAATTAGGACATGTTCTCTTCGCCTGATCTGAATGATCTTTATCTGATTAGGAGAAGTTCTGATCTGATCTGATCTGAATATATTTATATTTAAATTTATTACTGATCTGATTTGACCCGATTTGATATGATATGATCTAATTCTAATAAAATAAGGAATAAGTAATAAAAATAATTTAAAAAATATAAACTTAGTCCCTCCAAATATGAGATAATACAGGTGGACGTTGCACCGTTGGCAAGGCAAGAGGTATCAAGGGGGTAAGACCCGAGTTCGATTCCTAGTAACTAGGCTGAGAGGCAACTAAGCTAAAGCATATGACTTCTGCAAGTATCAGTTACAGCTTCCACTCATTGTCGTCAATAAGCCACGGAGATGGGACTCATCTTTTTTTCCAAATACTCCCTCCGTCCCCAATTTGATTACAAATTACGGGTTACGGAGAAAAATTTATTACTTTTTGAAATCATTTTATTTACAAATTGGTATATCACTAAGATATAATAATTACATATTAAAAAATTACGTCAAAAATTCTACAAAACAAGAGGTGACAAGAATATTTTATTTTATCAAATAATTAATGAAATCGGGTAAACAAACAAAAGTTATCGAGAGGAAAGAGAAAAAGAAATTATAATCTATTTAGGGACGTATGGGATATGTGATATCTTGCATAAAAAGAAAAAAAAGAAAGAAAAAAAGAGGAAAAGAATGTGCTGCCATGCCATAAATAATGCTCCCCACTCCGCGGAGTTCATTCCTTTTTCACCTTTTACTTGCACGGAATGCCCGCCGCCGCCGCACCAAGGAGATAGAAATAAAGAAAGAGAGAGAGAAAGAGAAGAATGTGTGTACAGTAATATATATACATACACGCATTTATTGATGATATATAGATATACCATCCATTGTTCCAAAAGGTGGAATCGCCCACCCCAGGCGCCCACACCCCCTTGCCCGACAGGAATGGTGGAGGAAGTAAATCATGGTGACTCAGTCAGCCAAGAACGCTAGACCCGTGCCCACTGCGCACAAGGAGCCTCCTCACCCTTTATGGAATTTTTGGATAGCTCCCACACTGCCGCTTGCGGGACTCGATCCCTGGTCATTGTTCCAAGCTTTCACGCTCTTGACCAACTGAGCTGCCCATGCGGGCATAGATATACCATCCATTGAAAGCGGAGTTGCAGTAACAAAAGGCCAAAACCACAAAGAAAATTCATTTTAAAAATTAAAATCAGTCGGCTGAAGAAGGTGAGAGATTCTTTTACTGCATTCGAGTGGCCCGCCCCCCCTCTCTCTCTCTCTCTGCTTTCTTTTTTTCTTTCTCCATCGGGTTGCTATACATATACGTCAACACACTCCAATGTCTTTTGCTCCATTTCTCCTCTCTTGCCTTCCATCTGTTTGATCTTTTGTGTCAGAGGTACTTTTTCCCCTTTCCTCTCTCTATTGGCCATAGTTGAATTATTTGCCATGACACTGTGTTTTTTTTCTCTCTCTCCCTGATCTGTTTGACTGATTTCCCTCTTTCCCTTTACATTCTTGCATTTGGGATCTCTGGGTTTTCTCTCTTTTCCTTTCCCCAGACTGCCCAGAGATCACATTCACATTTGGTATGGTGGTCAAATGGAGCAAGATTTGTCATGATCCAAGAACTGTGTGATGTTTCTGAAAAACAAAAAGAAAGAAAGATTGAATCTTGTTTTAGTTTACTTATTTCTTGATGGAATTCCATAAATTAGAATCTGTGTTTTTAACTTTTAAGAGGACTGATTACTTCGCATGCTCATTAATTAAGCAAGTGAAACTGCTTATCTCTGTTCTTCTTGCGGTGCCTCTATCTGCTTCACATGAACAGTTGTTTCTTTTGTCTCATGGGTCTCCGTTAGGTGTGGAATTAATTGGGCTAGTTTCGGAGTTTTCCTAATCTTTGCCGGCTTCTTTGCCAAAGGAGGGCCCTCAAAAGAGACTGTAGTGCGTGTCCATATCACCATTATTACTCTGTATTTAGAAAAGATACTTGAAAAGTTTACTGTTCTTAGATCTTACTATCGTCGTATTAGACTCCAATAGTAAGTCTTGGCCGATAGATCTGGGTCGTTAAGTTTCATCGCACTTACTTACTTTGTTACTATCAGACAGTTTCAGTTTTTTCTTTCACGATCTTTGTGGTTGATTGTTTTTTTTTCCTTTTGTTGATGGGCAAAGGTTGGTGAAGCATAAGCTGCTTTGTTTGTGTGGGAGAACAGATTCAGCTTGTAATACAACTAAGAACCATGAAGTATAAAGATGGGAAGCCCATATCACAGCCAGACAAAAGTTCCAGGAGAGTACCCATGGCAATACTGTTCTTGGTGCTATGTGGTTTTTCTTTCTATCTTGGTAGGATCTTCTGTTCTGAGAAGGAGAGATATGTTGCCGTTAATGATGTCTCAAAGGAAGTTGAATCTCCCAAGGAAACCGTCTCCGCCTCACTGCAAATCAAAGCCACTTCCTTTCCGGAATGCACCCCCGACTCACAAGACTACACTCCATGCACAGATCCAAAGGTTCTAATTCATTCTTTTCTTTGATCTTGATTCATTTTTTTAAATATATTTTTATTAAATCTCTGTTTTTTTGAGCTGGAAAAGAATAAGCTGGAATTAACATGGTAATATTTATGTTTTCGTGGTGATCGTGTTTCAGCGGTGGAAGAGGTACGATCCTCATCGGTTAAGTTTCTTGGAGCGCCACTGCCCTCCGGTATTTGAGAGAAATGAGTGTTTGATTCCTCCACCCGATGGCTATAAATTGCCTATCAGATGGCCAAAGAGCAAAGATGAATGTTGGTATAGGTATGGCATCTTATGATATGTAATACACTTTATTGGATTTCAATTTTGAGGATCAGGGATTCATTTTCAATGTTGGTTTCAGGAATGTTCCGTATGATTGGATTAACAAACAAAAATCTAACCAACATTGGTTAAAGAAAGAAGGGGAGAAGTTCCTTTTCCCTGGAGGAGGTACAATGTTCCCTGATGGTGTTAGCCGTTATGTTGATCTCATGCAAAGTCTGGTTCCTGGTATGAAAGATGGCACCATAAGGACCGCCATTGATACTGGATGCGGGGTAAGTTCACCTTTCTTATTGTTCTGTGCATTGCAGTCATTAAAAAAACTAATCTTTTAAGTAAGGGGATTACAAGTTTTCTGCAGAACTTTGGTTTGTACTCTAATAAGTTATGAGAGTGAAGGAGATGATTATGCTTGTTATGTTTTAGGTAGCAAGCTGGGGAGGTGATCTGCTAGACCGCGGGGTCTTGACAGTTTCTCTTGCACCGAGAGATAATCACGAGGCTCAAGTTCAGTTTGCTTTGGAGCGCGGAATTCCTGCAATTCTTGGCATCATTTCAACCCAGCGTCTTCCTTTCCCTTCAAGCTCTTTTGATATGGCTCATTGCTCAAGATGTCTAATTCCGTGGACTGAGTTTGGTAATTCAATTCAACTGTACCCAAATGTTGGTGATGATGATGATCACATTCATTTCATTTAGTCTAGTAACCAAATGAACATGGTTTTAATAATTGCAGGTGGACTTTACCTTCTTGAGATACATCGCATCTTACGTCCCGGTGGTTTCTGGGTCCTCTCTGGCCCGCCCGTGAACTATGAGCACCGATGGAGAGGGTGGAACACCACCATTGAAGAACAGAAGTCAGATTATGAGAAGCTCCAAGATTTGCTGACGTCAATGTGCTTCAAACTGTACAAGAAACAAGACGACATTGCCGTTTGGCAGAAGCTAGCAGACCCTAACTGCTACAAGAAACTTGACAGTCCAGAAGCATACCCACCGAAATGTGATGATGGCACCGAACAAGATTCAGCGTGGTATGTACCACTCCGCCCTTGCGTCGTTGTGCCAAAGGCTAAGAAAACTGAACTTAAGTCTCTGCCCAAGTGGCCGGATAGGTTGATATCTGCTCCAGAGCGAGTTAACCAAGTTCGTGGAGGAAGCGGTGGGGCTTTTAATCATGACAACAATAAGTGGAAGACAAGGGTGAAGCACTACAAGAAGTTGCTTCCTGCTCTTGGCACCGATAAGATAAGGAATGTGATGGATATGAACACATTGTATGGAGGCTTTGCTGCTTCTCTGATTGACGATCCTTTTTGGGTCATGAATGTGGTCTCATCGTACTCTGCAAATACACTTCCTGTAGTATATGACCGTGGTCTTATTGGTGTCTATCACGACTGGTGAGCCGATACTGTCGTGCAATTCATGAATGTTTCCATGCATTTGTTTTGTTTGGTTTAAGAATGTTTTTTTCCCCTGTGTGCACAGGTGTGAGCCGTTCTCAACGTATCCTAGAACGTATGATCTGCTTCACCTAGATGGCCACTTCACTGCAGAAAGTCACAGGTAAATGCGTTGTCCTTGGAAGTTCTAGGGTCATCTTTCTTGATCCCTTCCTAGAGCGGCCTACTCTTTTAGGGTATGTTTGGACCCTTAGGGAAAGGGAACAAAAACAACTAAGGAAGGTTTCACTTATGTTTGAACAAATATACAACAACAACAAACCCAGTAAATCCTACACAAGTAGGGTCTGGGGAGGGTGTGCATACGCAGACCTTGCCCCTACTCGAGAATAGGTTGTTTCCAAGAGACCCTCAATTCGCTTATTTTGCATGAAATTTTCATCCCTTGGTCGGATTATCCTTCCTATTTTTCTTTTGCTAATATATTTCCAGTGTTCGGAACGGACCCTAATCGCTTACAATGTATTGCAGATGTGAGATGAAGTATGTACTGCTAGAAATGGACCGCATTTTGAGGCCCAACGGGTATGCATTGATTCGCGAGGCCAGCTATTATGCAGATGCTATCGCGAGTATGGCCAAAGGGATGAGATGGAGCTGTCGTAAAGAAGCCACAGAGTACAATGTGGAGAAGGAGAAGATGTTGGTGTGCCAGAAGAAGCTCTGGTATTCGTCAAACAAGAAGAGCTCAAGGTGAAACCAAAGCGAAAGACACCAACACCCACACACGCCCAACTGGTAAGTTGCGCCGCTAGCTGCTTCGGATATATAATTGTAATTTCATTTTGAAGAAAGTTGTATGTAGCACAATAATATTAATAATGTCCTTTTGGTAATCTCTTCTTATTTATCACACAGCTATACACATTTATTCTTTTGTAAGATTCTGCAGTAAAGGGTTGGATTTGAAGTTTGTATTTTGTTGATTTTGAAAATGGCTCCATTACAGCTTTATTACTGTCAGTTTTGTTACTCAGGAAACAAACTTATCTTCGAACTTCTTCAGCTTCTATTGGGCGTAGGCTCAATAGACAATAAGCCCTTTCCCATTTTTTTTCAAGGAGGCGGTTCAAGGGACAATGAGAACGATATCATGCTATGATTCAAGCCTCCTACGGTGCTCCGTTTGGAAAATTGAAAGATTTTATCCCCCAACCCTCTTTGTTTTTATTTCTGGTTTTTAATTTTTTTAATTTAAGCGAAAATTAAAATTATGATTTATTAGAAATTCGTTTTTAACTTTTAGGGTATATTTTGGAGCGTAACACAATCCTAGTCCACCTTCCAATCCTACATTCACCATCTTTGTTATCTCACCGAAACTAGTGATCTTCGTATTCTGGTGAAGGACTCAGACAAGCTCTCCCTTCATGCTTTCTCTGATCGAGATTGGACTTCTTATCCTTTTTCCAAAAGGCTTGCCACTCGATACATTGTTCTCTTTGATGGCTCCCCAATTTTGTGGAAATCCAAAAAACAAAATGTTGTCTCTAAATCCTCTTCGGAAGTAGAACACAAAGCTATGTCCCAATTCGCTTTTGTGATCACTTGGCTAATATGCCTCTTGGAAGAATTTTGTGTATCCAATCTCAAGCCTGCCACACTCCATTGTGACAACCAAATTGCTATATACATTGCCCGCAATCCTATGTTCCATGAGAGAATCAAACATATTAAAATTGATTGTCATTTTACAAGGAACAAGGTGATCGAGAATCTTATTGAGCTCTCTTTCTTACCTAGTTTCTAATCAGCTTGTCGATGTGCTCACCAAAATCATGCAAGTTGATTAGTTTCAACACTTGTTGTCCAAGCTGGGAATGCTNGGGGGGGGGGGGGGGGGGGACAACTCGTAGTTAGTTATAGATAGTTTCATTTTGCGAGCAATACTTTTGGTTGGTTTGCATTCTTTGCTAGATGTTCGTTTGATAGTCTTCATTTTTCGCCTCTATATTTAGTCTCCTCTTTGCTTGTTGGACAAGGGATATAAATGTAAGAACTGAGACAAGACTTGCGAAACGATTTGAGATGCTCTTTTTTTCATCAAAATTATCATAGACCACTGTTCCACTGACACATATTCCTCTCAAACGATTTCATATTGTTATTAAGGGTGTATTTGATGAGCAAAAGAGATATGTGGTTTGATATTTCTAAATATCATTACTTTTATAGTGTTTGGTGATACCAAAAGAAATATCAAGTTTGAAATCTCCAGACATTATAAATCCTCCGAATTGAAGGTTTAGAATTTAGATATCTTCCAAATTTGGGGAATATAAATATGTGAGTTTTATATCTCTCTCAATCTTTAATCATTTTCAAGGATAGAGAAATACTAGATTTTGTACTTGTACGTTGCATGGTTAATGACTAATCTGAATATAAAGAACACAAATTTAATATAATTAATGTATAAATTCAAATCAAATTCTGTGGCTTTGTTATTTGTTTGAAAAGTTGGTTGAAAAGTTGTCTTTGAGGCCCGTAACCGAGATTTTGAACGAGTGTAGCCACATATTTGGTGGGGCATGAAGGTGTAGACCAAATAAATTTGCAAACATCATGTCATATATGTCCAAAAGGACAATGTCACATTGTCACAATACTATCACCGTAAGGCAATCTCAATTCTCAATGGAACTGCAACAATAACAAAGCCTTATTCGTGTCGATGGAACTTTTCCCAATAAATATTGTTACAAGTAACTTCAGATTGCAAGGCAAGCAAACACACAAAATCTATGTATTATTGTCAATAACTAGCTTAGCAGCAAACGGCAAATTACAAACAACTTGAGTAAACGGTCTCGACATAAGAGTGAGATTGAATTATTATTATCATCATCATCAAACACACTATTGTTTTTTGGATCCACCGGTCCAAAAAGATTGCAAGAAAACAGGCCAATTCCTCTGGGCTTCATTCCAGCCCAAAAGAGATCCCTCCCTAAGAGGATCCCAGCTGGAGGACACAATACCATAGGTGACCCCCAAGAGGGCAGTCCCAAAGAAGATGAAGGAGACAATGAAGGGCACCCAATTGGGCACATCAACCTTAGCACCAACCTTAAGATAGTAAAAGAAAGGGAAGAAGAGCAGCCCTACCGTCAAAGGGATCCCCACCGTGAACCCCATCCTCCTAATCATCCGATTCGTCACCATCTCCGGAACCACCCCTTGTTCATAATCATCTTCATTTTCGTCTTCGTCTTCGTCTCTGAAGGGCAGTTTCTTTTTGGAGGATTTTTTGCTTCTCTTTTTGGAGGCAACATAGCCAAAACCTCTCGGGGTTGCAGAAAGAGTGAAAATTGAAGATGAAGAATAATTGGGAAGTGAAATTGGGAAGTTATATTTGGTCGGGGTTGATGGGATAATCAGGAGCAACAATGGTTGCGTTCTTGGAATTGCCCCAGCTTCCATGGCTGAGGTTCTTTAATTTTTAAGATGCCTGACTTTGAACGGCCGGTGGTGGGGATGAAATCAGACTCGATATGTTTTGTTCAATAGAGACTTACTTAGGAATTTGTCATGCACCTGCACATGAATACAGTTGAGAACAATGGATACTAGTAACTACGTAGTAAAAAATAGTAATAACACAGAACCAATGTTCCAAACATAGACAGAGTGTTATGGCTTAAAAAAACACATGCTAAACCTGATACAGCTAGAATCCATATATTGGTATTAAGAGCATCTCCAACCGAGGTGTTAAAAATGAGAAGCTATATGGTATTTTTAGACTATGTACAGTACTTTAGAGGTTAAATTTTTAAAGTGAACTCCAACCACATCTTTTATTTCTCTACCTTTCTTTATCGGATCAAGCATATTTTTTTCATATCAAGCCTTCACTTTGGAGAAACCAAAGCCAAATCAAACCTTTTTTTCTGGCAATCTCTTCGATTACCCATTCACATAGGAAAAAAGTAGACAACAATCTCTCATCTTTTTCAGGTTATCTTGTTGTGCTTCAAATCATGCTAGGTCAAGATCATCAAGAACAGATCTATCCTATCGAAGTCTAGATTTGCTAAGGCCGCCGGCAAGTTTCCGATCAGCTCGTTACGGGAGAGGTAGAAATCCGACGTAGAAGGCCGCCGGCAAATTTCCAGAATTCAAGTGACTCTTTCCGGTGGTCCAAGTGGATTTTAGCAAACCTACAGTACCGTCTATTTATGGAGGCTCTAAAACTTAAAATAGCTTGTAGTCTAAATTTTGGAAGCTCCGTTGGAGCACCAAAAAGGGTACAGTAGCAGGTATAACTTCTATTCTTTAGACTTTGGCTGATGCGTTGGAGATGGCCTAAGCCACCCTCTCCTTTATCCTTTAAAATCTACACCTATACTGCCATTAGAAACATAAAAAATGTCAATATGTTTTTAAAATAGATGTAATTGCAAGTCTATATAAAAATGTAACACAGCCATGAACAACCTCTCAATCTCTTAATACATTTCCATCCATAAAATGGATGCTTTTCTCTTGTAAGACTTAAAAATTTTAAAAACAAATTATGATGAGATTTCATAGGCTAATATCACTTACAAAATATACGCAATATGTTCGGTCATCCTAAATAAAATAAAGAGCAAAAACTGAAAAGAGGGAAAACATAAGTACTTTAGAAATTGTGCGTGAAGCCACTTACTGACCGCAAAAATTCAACAACACTTTCCCAGAAACGCATTCTAAATTATTTTTAGAACAATTAAATCACTAAAGGTGAAAAGCTAATTAGCTATTCGGATGTATTGTTTCATGAGTATATATGCCTTTGTTTATACACCATTACACCCACTACCTACTAGTTTAGTACATATCTTCCATAAATACCATTGTTTACAATGTCCTGAACCAGCACTAAACTAATGTATCATACCACTTTTGGTTTGACTTATACTCACAAATTGAGTAGTACGGAGTACTTTTTAGCAACCACTACCAATTGTTCATTATTTATTAATTATTATGTTTCTAATTTCATTTCATAGATTTACTAAAGCAATTAAAATAACTTAATATCAATCATAATATCTTTTTTTCACTTTCAATTCCATGACAGAGAATGATAAAAAAAACTACTCTTTCAAAGTAAGAAACAATTTCTAATTCAAATTTATAAATTCATTCCAATTTCTTTCACATTTTTCAATACAAAGAATATAACTCCAAACAGAAGTTTACAAACTAATCGGACAAATCACAAAATTTTTCAACAAAATTCGTAAATGCATCAGCAATGAATGATAAACAAAGCTCATCAATTAAATCAAGAGTTTTAACGATAGTAAATATACGGTTTGAAGTTCGAATACCGTGGGAAATTGTCGCATGACCTGTTTCGATGGTTTCGAGTGCGTGGCAATGTTCGTCGCTGCTCATGTGTACCGGAAACCGCCAGTGCTCATTGTACCGGTAGTCGTCGCTGCTCGGGATCGCTCTCTCACACTCTCCGTTTCCAAAAAGAAGAAACCCCGAAGATGATGAGATAGATATGCTTTCCGATCGCCATTTCGCGATGGTTCTGATGATGGATGGATTCTATCGATGGAATCTGATTGAATAGAATACATGAAATCTTATCTAATCATGGAGCCGGTTTACTTTTTCAGGGTAGGGGTCCGGTCGCGGTCCAATGTAACAATTGAGAATTCAATTTCCGTTGGGAACCGGATCGGTACCATTTGGTTCGATTTCATGAGTGATTTCTCTTCTAATCCCTTTATTACAAGTATTTTTGTTAAAAGAAATATCCTTAAGAAACAACACATTTGGATAATCCGTGTTAAATAAAATAAAAATTAACAAGTCCAATTTTTTCACAAAATAAGTTTTCCGACAAAATTATGAATGCAACTAAACAAAAAAATAAAATAAATTGAGAATATATTTCTCTGACAAGTTGAATGACAGAGAACCGGAACAACGACATGTAACATTAACCTAAATAACGGCAACGACCTCTTTGAACAGTACATATTGAGAACCTAAGCTTCTTTTTTGTTGCTACTCCTTGATAACCACGGTAGATCACATGCTTGTCTGTGCTCGATTTTCAAGATGAGAGATCCTCCTAAGGGTCGAAAACCTGAGGAAGCCAAGGTGACTTCCCTGAATGAGTCACTTGCCAAGACTCTTAGACGTCCGACCGAGGAAGAACATCAGATATGATAAGCATAGTTTGAAATGGAGCCTCGTAGAAGTCTCGACCAATGCACTCCTTGAAGATATGATCGAAGGCCTATGCGAGCGGGAATGCAATGTGCCAAGGTTGGCCTTGCACACACAAACCACTGATTAAAGCCTAAAGGACTATGTCACCCCACTCCTAAATCTCTAGACAACCTTATATAAAAGCCGTATACTTGGCAAGATTCTAAAGTCGTGAGTTGTGTTTAATTTCCTCTTTTGAACTCTTCTTTGGTTTATCTATAGCTCTCCTCACACTTCCTACATCGAGCCTCTCGCACCTACTCATTGTAGCATCTGTACTTCTCTTCAATGCATGTATAGACCATCTCGGTTTAGCATCCGACACCTTATCCTCCCCATAGGTCATACCCACCCACCTTCAAATGTCTTCATTCTAAATCTTATTCATCCCTGTATAATGGCACATTCACCTCAATATCCACACCTCAACTACCTGTAACCTTAGAACATGAGCATTTTTCACTGTTGAGCACTCTTCCTCGAGCAACATTGCCGATTTGAAGACTATCAATAAAACTTCTCTTTCAAGTTTGTCGATATCCTCTTCTCATAAAGGACACCTGAAACAAGCATTCACTTTATTCAAGCAACACTGTTATGATGGAAGACATCCTATCTACATATCTGAAACATCCAGAAGACCAAATCCATTAGCCACGAGAGAGAGAGAGAAAGAAAGTACTCATAAATGGGCACGCCCTATTGCCTTACTGTTGAGGCTTTGCCGTCGCTCTTTGCCACCTTCGCCAAACTTGAAAGGGCCTATTAAATACGGAGTATACGACTTTCTTTGGTCCACCTAAGGTCTACAATTCTTTTTGTAAATCTTCTAGCATAAATTACTTTTTTCTTTTCTAAAATTTTTTTAATACGAGTACTATTTATGTTTCACTGTTTTCTTTTAGTTTGACTTTTTTCGAATCAAAATGAATAATGTTAGACCTCATTTAAATAAAAAATGTAACGTATGTTAATGTAAAAATAATTTCAATTGATGTACCTTGTTGTAAAATTTTAAAATTTGATTTTATTGTATTAATATACAATGCAAATTGATAGTGTCAATGGTTAATGTTCGTTTAATTCTATCCGTCCTAAAAAAGGACTTCCTATTTGCTTTTTGAGACGTTCCAACAAAAGTCTTCTCTCTAGCTCCTTTATAGAAACTGACTCACAATCTTTTTTTGTGCCCTGCACCACTGCACCTCTTTGAATCACATTTTTTTTTGATAAAATTTATATCGAATTATTGTTTTTGGGAGGGATGTAGTGAATTGAAACTAATGTACAAAAATTAGTCGCACACACAATATGAGTGAGGGGAGGTGTAAAACAGCTGCACTACGCGTAGGCAGCGTGCGCGGACAGCCCCCCTAAATTACCTCAAACCCCTTCCCCCGCTTTTTCCGCTCTTTCGTCTTTATATTTACTCATATTTTCTTCCCTTCTCTTCCTTTTTTTCGCCCCGACTTTCTAATTAACTCCCAAAAATTTCTTACCAAAAAGCTTCATCACCACCACCTCACAATAGCTGCCATTAACGGGGCAGATTTCTTTCTATTTTTCTCTTCTTCTTAGCCCGAACCCGGAAACCTTTGCTCCAGCATTCATCAGATCTATCACCATTCGCCAAGATTCGGGCGATTATCAGTAAGTCCACTACCTTTTCTTTGAATGTTTGAAGCTTTCTCAAAGCTGACTATTTATTTTCTTTTTTTTTATGTAATTCGTGATTTCTTTCACTCCTTTGAGGTCAGTAAACACTTTTAGCAGTTCTTATTTACTCGGTCTTGTGACCCATTCTTCAATCGAATAAATCCGTTGAAAAACTCGGAAAAGGACGGATAACGAAGATATAAATAAATGGGCTGTTTCGTTTTCTGACTTGTTATTCTTACTGTCATTAATGGTTCAATTGCAATTTAATGCATACTGTGTAATTAAGGAGGAAACGAAGGAGGGGAAATTTGTGACTGGGTCCTCATTGTATAGGATATTGGTGGTGGGCCCCTGTCTGTATAAGCAAAGCTTCCTTACAGTTGTAAATTGCTATGTATCCTGCAGTTTTTTTGTCTGTGTATTCAATTTTTTTAAGGATGTTTCTTACACGCTTTTGGTCTTGATTTCTATTTGTTTACTTTATTATAAGGGACGGGCAATTTGTGGAGGCCAGTAATCATATGCTTTGGTTGAGAGATTTGTGTGTGATTGAAGAAGATCTGGCCTCTGCATATTCTTGTTTGAACTGCATTCTTTATCAAGGTTCAAATCCTTTCGGTTCTTGGGGAATATTTTTTTGGTGATGGCTTTCTTTTAAATGGTCTTTTTTGTTTCTGTACTGGATTTTTTCTTGGGATAAGGTTTCTCTATTGGATTAGTGTTGTATGAATCTTTTTCGGATGTGATTTTTTCAAATTGGGTTTTGATGCTATGGGCGAACCGAGAGCATGTAGTGCCTTGCTTTTGAAGCTTTGATTAGTTGTCATCTTAGATTATATTTTTGTGTAAAGAATACCCTTTTTTCACCATTTAAAAACAAAAAAGAATCTGAATGATTCCAGTATATCACTTCTTGCTGAAAGTCTGAAAAGATGTTTTTTTTGTATAACTTAATGCTTGTTCCACACTTCAAACAAGGAAAAAGAAAAAAAAGGAAGAAGAGGAATCTGAATGATCTTAGTATATTTCATCTTGTTGAAGAACGAAACATGTTTATTCTTGTGTTTTAGATTAACTCCTTCATAATGTCTGTATCTTTTTTCCAACAGGCTGTTGATGTATTGATCCAGAAATCATTAGTGCAAGTTTTAGAAGAATATGGCTGGAAAGTCCTTCAAAGCGGCAGGGGAGCCACAAATGACAAAGCTACCGGCAGGCGGTCCTTTGGTGACCTTTGCAAGAAGAACCTCATCAGGCCGGTATGTGAACCTATCAAGGGACTCACTTGACAGCGAAATAAGTGGGATTGAGAGTGTGAACTACACAGTCCACATACCGCCCACGCCCGATAACCAACCCATGGACCCATCAATTTCACAGAGGGTTGAGGAGCAGTATGTTTCCAACTCTCTGTTCACCGGAGGGTACAACAGTGTCACGCGCGCTCATCTCATGGACAAGGTGATCGAATCAGAAGCCACCGACCATCCTCAGATGACAGGGGTAAAAGGGTCTTCTTGTGCGGTCCCCGGGTGCGATGGGAAGGTGATGCGCGACGAACGTGGCGAGGACATTCTCCCATGCGAATGTGATTTCAAGATTTGTAGGGATTGCTATATAGATGCCGTGAAAGCCGGCGAGGGAATTTGTCCGGGTTGTAAAGAGGCTTACAAGAACACTGACTTGCTGGACCAGAGCAGCGCCGTGGACCCCAGCAGACAACCTTTGTCTTTGCCATCAAACGTTGGGACATCAAAGATGGAGAGAAGGTTGTCATTGATGAAATCAGGGAATGAATCAGCATTAGTCAGAAGTCAGTCCAGGTTGACCAGGAGTCAAACAGGGGATTTTGATCATAATAGATGGCTGTTTGAGACAAAAGGAACATATGGTTACGGCAATGCGATATGGCCAAAGGAGGAAGATGGGGGTTCTGGAAATGATAAATCCAACGGCGGCGAGCCTTCGGAACTTCTTAATAAGCCATGGAGACCACTCACACGGAAACTGAAAATACCTGCTGCTGTTATCAGTCCATACCGGTAAGCAACCTTTGTTTGCTGAAAAAAAAACGTACCTTTATTATTATTATAATTTCTAATATTATTATTTCCTTGGTTTTGATAGGCTTTTGATTTTGATTCGCGTTGTTGTGCTGGGACTGTTCCTTGCATGGAGGGTCAGCCACCCGAACAACGACGCGATATGGTTATGGTACATGTCAATCATATGTGAGATTTGGTTTGCCTTCTCGTGGCTCTTAGATCAACTTCCCAAGCTTTGCCCCATCAACCGTGCGACTGATCTCAATGTCCTGAAAGAGAAATTTGAAACGCCGTCTCCGGCCAACCCTTCTGGAAAATCTGATCTTCCCGGTCTTGACATCTTTGTCTCCACTGCAGACCCAGAAAAGGAGCCACCACTTGTTACTGCCAATACCATACTGTCTATCCTTGCAGCGGACTACCCGGTTGAAAAACTCTCTTGCTATGTTTCCGATGATGGCGGGGCCCTCCTCACTTTTGAAGCCATGGCTGAAGCTGCAAGCTTTGCCAACATATGGGTCCCATTTTGCAGGAAGCACGGCATCGAACCGAGGAACCCGGAGACTTACTTTAACTTGAAGCGGGACCCGTACAAGAACAAGGTCCGCTCCGATTTTGTGAAGGATCGCAGGCGGGTGAAACGGGAGTACGATGAGTTCAAGGTTCGGATCAACGGTCTTCCCGACTCCATACGCAGACGTTCTGATGCTTATAATGCTCGGGAAGAGATAAAGGCTGTGAAGCTTCAGAGAGAGGCTGCTGGTGATGAACTGTTGGAGCCTATCAAAATCACCAAGGCCACTTGGATGGCGGATGGGACCCATTGGCCCGGGACCTGGAATGCTTCCGCTCATGAGCATTCAAGGGGTGATCATGCAGGAATCATCCAGGTAAATTACCCTCATTTACAGAAACTTAGAATATGGTAATCAAATTTGAATTCAGTGGGAAAACTATATTTCAAAACTTCCAAGTTACTGATTTTTTTACTGTTCTACCCAACAATGTGTTGTCAAATATTTGCAGGTGATGTTGAAACCACCAAGTGATGATCCATTGCACGGAAAAGCTGCGGCTGAAGGAAACCCGGTTGATCTAAGCGAAGTTGATATCCGGCTTCCCTTGTTGGTCTATGTTTCCCGTGAGAAACGGCCCGGTTACGATCACAACAAGAAGGCTGGGGCAATGAATGCCTTAGTCCGGGCTTCAGCAATCATGTCCAATGGCCCATTCATCCTCAACCTTGACTGTGATCACTATATCTACAACTCACAGGCAATCAGAGAAGGCATGTGTTTCATGATGGACCGTGGGGGTGACCGGATTTGTTACGTCCAATTTCCCCAAAGGTTTGAGGGTATCGACCCGTCCGACCGTTACGCGAACCACAACACGGTTTTCTTCGATGTCAACATGCGGGCCTTGGATGGGCTGCAGGGTCCGGTTTATGTGGGTACGGGTTGCCTTTTCCGCCGGACCGCCCTTTACGGTTTCGACCCGCCAAGGAACAAGGACTATAATCCCGGCTGCTGCTGCTGTTTCCCCGCCCGGAAGAAACGGGCTAGCGTTGCTTCCGACCCGGAGGACGAGAATAGGAGTCTTAGGATGGGGGATTTCGACGACGAGGAGATGAATCTCTCGTCTTTCCCGAAACGGTTTGGTAACTCGACCCTCCTCATTGATTCCATTCCGGTCGCCGAGTTCCAAGGCAGACCGCTCGCAGATCACCCGGCGGTAAAAAACGGGCGCCCGCCCGGCGCCCTAACGATACCCCGGGAGCTCCTCGACGCGTCCACCGTGGCCGAAGCCATCAGTGTCATCTCGTGCTGGTACGAAGACAAGACGGAATGGGGGAACAGGGTCGGGTGGATTTACGGGTCGGTGACCGAAGACGTGGTGACGGGCTACCGGATGCACAACCGCGGGTGGAGGTCGGTCTACTGCGTGACCAAGAGGGACGCCTTCCGCGGGACGGCACCCATCAACCTGACCGACCGGCTCCACCAAGTACTCCGGTGGGCCACCGGGTCCGTCGAGATCTTCTTCTCCCGCAACAACGCGTTATTGGCCAGTCCCAAGATGAAGATGCTGCAGAGAATCGCGTACCTGAACGTGGGCATCTACCCCTTCACCTCCCTCTTCCTCATCGTCTACTGCTTCCTCCCTGCCCTCTCACTCTTCTCCGGCCAGTTCATAGTCCAGACCCTGAACGTCACGTTCCTCACCTACCTACTGGGCATCACTCTGACTCTGTGCACCCTCGCCGTCCTGGAGATCAAGTGGTCGGGGATCAACCTGGAGGAGTGGTGGAGGAACGAGCAGTTCTGGCTGATAGGAGGGACGAGCGCGCATCTGGCGGCAGTTCTGCAGGGCCTGCTGAAAGTGGTGGCGGGGATCGAGATCTCCTTCACCCTGACGTCGAAGTCGGCGGGGGACGAGAACGACGACGAGTTTGCGGACCTCTACATCATCAAGTGGAGCTCGCTGATGATACCGCCGATCACGATCATGATGACCAACCTGATAGCCATAGCGGTTGGGTTCAGCAGGACGATCTACAGTACGATACCGCAGTGGAGCCGGCTGATCGGAGGGGTGTTCTTTAGTTTCTGGGTTTTGGCTCATCTCTACCCCTTCGCTAAAGGGCTGATGGGAAGGCGGGGCAGGACGCCGACCATTGTGTTCGTTTGGTCTGGGCTTATCGCCATCACCATTTCCCTTCTCTGGGTTGCCATCAACCCTCCATCTGGTAATTCTGAAATTGGAGGCTCATTCCAGTTCCCTTGATATGAAACTAGACTGAGCTAAAGGCATATATACATAAGCTATAGCTAATTGCTTTTTGGTTAATTACTGGATTTCTTCTTCTTCTTCTTCTTCTTCTTCTTCTTCATTCTTCTTCTTCATTCTTCTTCTTCATTCTTCTTCTTCCCTTTGTTTCATGTTCAAATTTATACATATATAGATAGAGAGAATGAACAGAAACGGAACTTCAAAGTAGAAAGTAAAATTCTTTCTTTGTTTGTTTCATTGTCCTCTCTTGTTGGTTGCCGGCCCTTCCTTCTACATGATCACATTCAAGATTGTTACAGTATATATTATTTTTCTATGTATCATTGGTATTAAGTTCATAAAATGTCCTAAAAATGTTGAAATAGATTGGCAAAATTTGTGATGTTTTTTAGTCAAATTGTAAACCTACACTGCATCAAAGGTGGTCAAACACAAAACACAGTGCTTTTTTAGCGGAAGGGTGCAACTTTGTTCTCTCCAAATTTTGTACTCTCACCCTTCCAAAAAAACTTACTGTACTCAGTACTTATTTTTCTATAGTTCCAAAAAATACTTTATACTTCCGTATTCGTTAAATATGCCCCTACGTCTATTTTTTTTATCTTCTCCCTTCGAAGTATTTACAAATTGATATGTAAAAAAAGTACAAATTAAATTATACTCGTATCAAAAGTTTTACAAATAAGGTTGGACAAGAATATTTTAATTTAACATTGACTAATGAAAATAAATAAATATAAGTTATTGAGATCTTAGTTGTACCAAATAATGATCTTATTTTCAATTCAATTTATTTGCTTATAGAGAAAAATTTTAAAATAAAATTTATATAGTAATAAATAACATGAAAATTCTACAAAACTAGAGGTGACAAGATTATATTATTTTATGAAATAACTAGTAAAAATAAGCAAATAAAAAAAGTTATGTTTTATTCTGTGAATAGTGTCCGGAAAGATCTACAATGGACGGAGGGGTATATTAAAACTTTATCTTAAGATGACCACAACAATATTTATACTCTGTATTATAACTAAATACGGAGTATATGTTTTTCACAATTTGTGATTAAAAAGTATCAGTATTTGAGTTAAAAAGCCAAAACATGAAATATTTTTCCGACGAAGTATTTTTGTCTTTCCTTTTTTTTGGGTGGGACAATGGAAAGAATGTGACTGGTTCTTGATTTTAAAAAATAGTGGGATCCAAATGGAATAATAAAGAATATGGGGCATGGAGAAGTAAATTAGTTGAATTTGACCTCCGGCAGCTGGTTGACTGCAGGCAAAGAGTATGGCAGAGCACGGTGGAGATTCCGGAGAAGACGCGAACGCCCACCGCCTCATAACCCTAGCGGAGGAGAAGTACGCTTCCGGCGACCTCAATTCAGCTATCCAATTTGCCAAGCGCGCCCACAGTCAGCGCCCCAATCTAGACGGCCTTTCCGAAATGCTCGCCGCCTTCAAAATCCTTCGCACCGCCGCCGCATCGAGCGACGGAGTCCCCGGTACGCCGGATTACTACAAGATTCTCCAGGTCGAGCGGTTCTCCCGCATCAACGGCATTAAGAAGCAGTACAAGAAGCTCGCTCTAACCCTCCACCCTGACAAGAAGCCTTTCGCGGCATGCGAGGATGCATTCAAGGTCGTCGCTGAAGCGTTTAGGGTTCTGTCGGATAAGATCAGGCGAAAAGAGTACGATTTGAGACTGACAATCGCTATGCAGTCTGAAACAGGGGAAGAAGAAGCTGCCGCGGCAGTAGAGACATTCCAGACGGCGTGTTCCAATTGCAGATTGGTTCATAAGTTTGACAGAAAGTATGTGGGGCAAAACTTGATGTGTCCTAACTGTAGTAAGAGCTTCAAAGCTGTTGAAGCATCTGAAAATTCTTCGGATTCTACGGGCATTTGCAGTGAGGATGAGCGAAATGATGAAATTCCAGGGACTAGGGTTAGTGCTAGGATCAAGGCTAGGAAAACCAGTAGTGTTGGGGAGATCTTACTGAGGGCAAAGAAAAGATCATTTGGAGATGTGGAAGGATCATCCAAGAGGTTGGTTGAGTCCAGAAATGTCGTGTTCGAAGGGGAAAGCTCTAGGTCAAAGATCTCAGAGTATAGTGAAGAAGAAGAAGATCATGATGATGATGATGATAATGATGATGATAATGATGAAACAATGACATTAGCAGAGATGCAAATGCTTGCGATAAAGAAGATGAATAAGGATAAGGCGATTGTGAAGAAGAAGGAAAGCAGAAAGAGCAAGGACATACTACAATTGTGCTTGAGTGAAAATGAAAGCGAAATAGATGGAGAATCCATCACGACTAGGAACGGGAAAGTAAAGGAGGGCAAGATTTTCAAGAAAGGGCAGGTTTGGGCTGTTTATAGAGAGGAAGACGATGATGGTGGGTTACCACGACACTATGCATTGATTCATGAAGTAGTGTCATTGAATCCCTTCAAGATAAGATTGTGTTGGTTGCAATATCAACACAATGGCAGAAAAACGGGCCCACACATGTCTTGCGGGAGATTTAAGGTTTCCAAGCAGACGTCTGCAATGTCAGCGAATATGTTTTCCCATATTGTAGACTGTGAAAGAGTGGCCAGAGAAGTGTACATGGTGTATCCTAGAAAGGGCACCGTTTGGGCGATGTACGCTGAAAACGGTGCAAATAATCAAGGGGTGGAGGAGGGCGGGCAGTATGATATAGTTGTGTGTTTGACGAGTTACAGCGAAGTGTACGGGCTGAGTTTGGGATACCTTGAGAAGGTTGATGGGTTTAGGACACTTTTCAAGAGGAGGGAGGTTGGGGTTGATGGGGTAAGACGGATTGGGAAGGACGAGATAGGACTGATGTCCCACCAAATTGCTGCTGCCAGGAAGGTTTCTGGGGAAGAGGCAGGTGCCATTGGTAAGGACTGCTGGGAACTGGATGATCCCATCATCTTCAGTTCCTCATAACAATAAGAAGATGGTGTTCAGTGTTTTTTTCTCAAGAGGGACAGACAAGTAATTACACTGCATTGAGTTTTGACACTATCAAAGTGACTCTTTGCCATTTCAGAGTTTTCAGTTAAGAAGAATATTGCCTAACAATGTAGGTGTGTTGCAAGTTGCCCCTCCTAAGCCTTCTTTCTAAAGTCTTATCCAAAAGCCTTGACTAAAACACAAATACACAATAGCCAGCAAGCAGGTTAGCTTTAAAAAACGTCTTAAAATAAGTACTTTCCTGGTTTCTATATTTTCTCACTGGGAATTTTCTTGGTCAGCATATCCGAATTTTGATCATAATACGTGGAGAAAATCTTTTTGGACAAATGGAGTACAATTGTGATCATAAATTTTGACTTTTCGGAGTGGTTTTCGTTGGTATTGGTGTATTATCTGAAGAAAATTTTTGGACGGTGGGAGTAAAACACAAAAAATAAAAATTATTTCGTTCACAAATGCCGAAATGGTTAAGTAAAAATAGTGTTGGAAAACAAACACATTAAAGATTGTTTGTTGAATTATAATTGGTGTGTGTACACTTGTATGAGTATGACAAATGGAGACTTCTTTACTATCGTCTTCGTCCCAAAATTAAAATCATTTCACAAGATGCTGATAATTGACTTAATGTGTTATGAAATTTTACAAAATAGTTCAAGTGTACTGAAATTTTACAAAATAATTGACTTAATGTCGGATAATTGACTAAATCAAAATTTTACAAAATAATAAATGATATAGTTATGACTCTATTATAAGCTAATATTTGTTTATACTATTCTCAATTTATGAGGGACAACGAACTAATGTTTCCACCTCCCAAGAACAACAACAACAAGTTCCTGGAGAAGTTCATAAAGATTATAAACTTAAATAAAACAAAAAAAAAAAAACTTACGCTCCGCACAGTGTTTTTTTTATAGACCGCTTTTCGTATGGGCCGAAACTCTGAAATCGTTTCAAGCCTAAGTCTAATATATTCCTTTATAAATATACTCCTTCACAACCGAACTTCCTCGCCTCCATCTTCGCCTGCGTCAAATTTTTTTATCGAATAAGAATACGCGGAGTATTGGTAATCAAAATATAATAGTAATAGTTAGTTACTACTGTAATTATTCGTATTGTTTATATATATGTAGATATGTAATTAGTTCTTTTTCTAGTAAATTTATGAACGAATTGTGATTGTGTAGCAGAGGGTATTTCGATCGAGGATTTGAATGAGAATGGGTTCTTCTGGATTGGTAATTAATGCAAATAAGTTGGACCCCATCGCTCATGAGAAGAAGAAGAAGAAGATGGAACTTGGAGCCACACGACGACGTGGGCCCACTGTTGTTGATGAATATGCTGTGGAACCCATTGACCGACAAGAAGTTTTTGATATCCTTTAATTTCTCAGTCATGCATATAGATTTTAGCATGCATATATATATATATATATATATATATATATATATATATATATATATATATATATATATATATATATATATATATATATATATATATAGACACACACACTTAAATGCTAGTTATGTCACTAGCTACACTCACTATATGTTGCTCGGCTAAAATCCACCATTGGTCCTTCAATTTTATCAGTTGTGCACGATTGGTCCTTCAAGTTTCAAAAGTCCATAAATAGTTCTTCAAGTTTATGAGTTCTGCACCATTGGTCCTTCAAGTTTCAAAAGTCCATAAGTAGTTATTCAGGTACACGTCAGTCCTCCATATGAAGTGCTTTTGACAGTAAATATTAAAAGTTAAACGAAATACTAGTTTCATATAATACGAGTAAATTCCATTAGGCACGACTACTCCGTATTATATGGAGTTAGTATTCCATTTAGCTTTTAACATTTACTGTCAAAAGGACCGCATTTGGAGGGCTGACGTGTACTTGAAGGACTATTTATGCACTTTTAAAACTTGAAAGATCAATCATGCATAACACATAAAGTTGAAGGACTATTTATGGACTTTTAAAACTTGAAGGACCAATCGTGCACAATTGATAAAGTTGAAGGACCAATGGTGGAGTTTAGCCTATGTTACTCCCTCCGTCCTAAAAAAAGTTCTTTTCTTTGTTTCTTGTCCTACTAAATCTTTCTCTTTTTTTTTTTATATAAAAAAATCACTTTTATCCATACCAATTCTTTAACCGGTCTATCATAGCATACACTTTTACTAATCATCTACCAATCACATCTTCCTACTTTTATGCATCACATATTTTTGGAAAGTCAACAAAAAATCATCACTCCTTAAATTTTTTGTAACATCTTTATGAGACAGTGAAAGTATTTAATTACAAGTATAGAATTGATTATGTGAAATATGAAATTTTTTTTCTCTAAGCTATCTTAAAATTTAAAGTGTATATGGAGAATACCCACTTTATTAGTTAATTAGTACTACATGGGAACTCTGCATTGGGAAGTCAGTGTGAAAATAGTAACACTATGTTTGGCTCAAAGAATTTGAGAGGGAAAGAAAAAGAAAATGAAAAGGAAAACTTTTTTTCTTGTTTGGTTAGAGAGGAAAAGAAAAGAAAAGTGGAAGGAAAAAAAAATGAGAAAGCAAAATGTATTAAGAGGATGGAAAACCAAATTCCTCCCATTTTGGTGAAGAAACTAAGGGAAAACCATTTTCTTTTCTTTTCCTTCCAAATTCCATGAACCAAACATAGTGTAAAGTGTTATTCATAAAAGATTTTATGGCTGTGACAGCATTCTTTGACATTGTGATGATGATGATGAGAATTATTAGTGTTGTAACTCTTTAACATGCATATATACATCATATCAGATACATACGAGATCCAGAGCGTCCTGATTCTTTAGAAGAGCTGCATGTTATTACACTAGACTCCATTGAAGTAGATGACACCAGAAGCTATGTCAGGTTATTATTCTTTCATAAATCCATACAAATATATATATATATACAGGATCAGAGCTAGCTAGGTGCATTCGTTTCACACCCATCATTCTGCATTTTTTTTCATATAAATTATTTAAGAAAAACTTGTGTGTGAATAAGGAATTGTTTGTTTCAGGGTAACATTCACCCCAACCAATACGGGTTGCGGCCTGACTCAAGTCATAGGCGTATGCTTGCGCGTGAAGCTCACGCAGTCCCTGCCTTCCCGCTATAAAGTATGCCATTTGTTCAATGTTTGAATAAATGCACGCTTCCATGCTTGTTCTAATGATAATTGTTTTTATTGCGTACCGTATTACCAGATTGATATTAGGGTTGCACCAGGATCACATCAATCCGAAGCTGCAGGTCTCTCTCTCTCTCTCTTTTTTCTCTTTCTGTTTGAATGGCATGCAACAAAAGTAGGCAGTACATTATATTTGGTCCTAAACTTCAAGGGTCTAAACTTCCCTTATGAATCTCTGTGAAGTTTTGGGAGCCTCTCTGTTTTTCAACATCTTGGCCGGCCTCCTAAACCCCAGCAGAGAATTGGGATTTTACTGGTGTTTTGTTTTGCTTTGTTGAATGGGTTTTGAAGTAAATTTGCAGTAAATTCTTATTTCTTTGTGTCAATTTGCAGTAAATAAGCAACTGAATGACAAAGAGAGAGTTGCGGCCGCCTTGGAATCTCCCCCATTTGCCTCCATGATCCGCCATTGCCTTTCTCCCCATTACCAGTCTTGATCTAACTACCTAGTAACACAACAACATAGTATATGATGGATTGTTTCTTTGTCAACCTCTCCCATGGAAATTCCTTAAACTTGTGTTGCTTGCTGATGAGTGGGGACTAGCAGATTGATTGTTTTTTTTTCTTTTCTTTTCCTACACATTTAATGTAGTAATAAAGAGTCACTTGATTACTTCTGCAATATTTTATTTACCCAAGTTTTTATATGGAATTTTGAGTTCATTATTTGATTATATCTTTTCATAGCTTTTTTTTTCAAAGCCTTCTTGTAGTTCTGGGAGTATACCTGAAAGTGCATATTTTTACTGCTGAAACTTGGGTATAAGCTGCTCCCGGACGACACTTGTTTGCAAAACCCTGTTTTAGTGTCAAATTTGGTCTGCAACAAGGTATAATGTATATGATATCTTCTCTTTCCTAGAAAGAATTTTCTAATTTGGATGTCTCAAAACAATAACCAAACAAACAATTATTTGAGTACAATACAGAGTATACAGTGAAGGGTAAACAATAACCAATCCATCTTAATCTTTAATTATAAAGCAAATACTTGTACTACGGTAGTACTTTTTATGAATGGGCATCCAACAACAATTGTTGTATAAAAAAATTGTTGCAAAAGGACAATAATTTGTTATAGAACCATTTTTACAACAATCGTATCTAGCCTAGCGATTGACGTGAAGGTGGGTGGGGGTGGTCATAATGAAAATTTGACACCCTCATCATCGGCAGACGTTCCCTTGAAGATCGCAAGCTTTCCCTTGTTCTCTAGCAGTTTCAAAGCTCGCATCAAAATGGTTCGGTCCAACCCATCAAGATCTGACCATATTAAGGGAAGCATAAGAAACGGAGTATTAGAGGATGAAGAAGAAGAAGATAATGATGATGATGAATTGCAACAACTCACTTGTTCCCTTCGATTCGGTTCCGCTGCGTATCTCTTCAACTGTCATCACACTGTCCTCCAGACCATTTTCCTTCACCTGACATTTTGCATCAAATATCATTGAAGGGAGATTATTTTTTTTTTCACACACACAAAAAAAGTACTACTACATCTGTACCGGAGACTTGATCAAGAATTCAAGATACCCTTTCTCATATTTGTAAGTGATCAATCTTTCTTAGAGAGACAATGTGGTCATATTCGGTTTATTCTGCTTCTTTTGCTTGTTATGAGAAGAATAAAAAAAATAAGTGGATTTTGAGCTAGTTATTGATCAAATATGGATGCTCTCAAGCACTAACTTTCATGCTTTTTAGAACTTGAATTCTTTTGGGACATTTGTTTTAAAGTTGCATGACCACTTACAAATTGTACTATTATGTCAGCCCAATCCTGAATCCGATGCCAAAGGATAAGGCATTTCCTATGGCCTTTATCCATCCACTCTGCACGGCCTGTTAAAGAAAAGGCAGGACCGGTAGTTAATCGAATAGACACATATATTGTTTTTTGATGCATAAGAGATTCACTCTCATTATAAGGGTTAACATTAAAGAAATTAATAAAGCACAATAACATTCAAACGAATCATGTAATGATTTAACAAAATACATAAGCTAGTATTTTTCAGTCAAGAGTAGGAACTGTGGCAGAATGTACATTATAGACCTTACTTCTACCCAGCTAGTTGAAAGTTTGTCTCAGACAGGACCTCCGAAATCATGTAATGATATAATATATACTCCCTCCACCCAAATTAAAATTTCTACTTTCCTTTTTCAGTTTGTCTCGATATAAACTTATCATTCTAGCATGTTCTTAGACTTTATGAAAAAAAAGTAAATGAAAAGTTTAATGTAGTCATAAACAATTGCACAAATTAGACTAAAACGCGTACCATCTGAAACCAAGGCAGACAGAAATGTTTCCTTTGCTTCATGACTAAGAGATCCTTCATAATAATGACACAAAGTGAAACTCAGCACCACAAGTGAAACTCAAATAGAATGAGACTCAGAAGAGCACAATGGATTCCCCAAGCTAAAAACAATAGATTCATGAGCTTTCCCTAATCTCAATTTGATTACATATCAATCTGCACAATACGCTGAAACCTTTCGCTTGTCTGATGCTCGTGACTGGCAGTCCTCTCTATAAGTTTCTTAACAGCCTCACCAAGTAGAAAAGAACTATGGAAGCTATAACTATAAATTTTTAGACAACATTTTACATTGAATGGAACTGCTTCAATAAAAGAAGACCGGATAAAATACATCAAAAACCCCAGAAGTTTTTACTTTTAACAACTGAAGCAATTAAGACCTGCCCATGTCAATTTACTGCAGATGTAAACTAGCATAAACATGAAGCATAAAATGTTACAAAACACATGCACACATCATAAGACTGAAATATATATACTACTCCCTCTGTCCCATAAAAAAGAGTCATTATTATATTGCTAGATTTTAAACAGATTTCTTGGTTTAATTAATTGTTTACACTCTTAACTTCTTAGCAACACCTTTTTATTTAATATACATTGAATATCACAAAAATTATCTTCCTTTTTTTTTTGCTCAAATGCACTATTCTGGAACAAAAACAAACATTTTCTTAATTTTTTCGGGGACTGATACTAAACTCAGCACGTGATTCTTCAAATCTTATCATTCCTAAGTAAGGGACAAAATCAATAGAGCAAGATGATTTAAAATCTTAAATGATGGATAATAATTCTCACTCTCAATTGCAGGATTACTGAACAATGGAAAGTCCTCCTCAAGTCCAATAACAAATATTTTTTGGGACTTACAGTAGTCAATTATCAACTCCTTCCATAGCTGCGTCTGTTTTTCCCTTGTTTCCCTTACAGGCTGTAAACTAAGTATGAAAAAACAAAACGGAGTTAAGGGATGCAAGAAATAGCACTTTCAACAAAGACTTTCATTAGAAAAAAACATTAACTCTAAAAATGAGGTGAATGCTTGAAACAGGTTCAAACCCTCTTGGCTAATGCTCCCTTTGGCCCTAAACTTTGACATAAAAAAAACCCTAAAAAGGTGCAACAAAAAAGGTTTAAATGAAACAAAATTTTATATGATATGCATAAAAATTGTTATTTCTATGTTTAAACAAAAAAGTCCTACATGTGTAAAAATGTCAGGAACTCATTGCAGGTGCTGTGAAGTTGAACTTGATGGGATGATGAAGTTGAAAGGTATTTTTAGGGACATGTATGTTGTATGTTATTTTGGACAATTACATTTATCAAATGCATGTACCCCATAAAAAAACTGGGCTTTTTGCAAGAAATGTGTGACAAGATCTACATTTCACATGTGAACCTTAGAACTACAAAAAACATACTCCGGGGTAACTCTTTATCAAAACAAATGTATGTTTTTTTCATGATGAAGACAACAATTTTGACTAGGAGAAAAGGGTTTGAAACTTTCAATTTAAAGATCAAGACTACATATCTTAAGCTCTACAAGGCAGTGATCTCAAAACATCCGTTTTACAACGAGAAATGAAACTAACCCAAGTTCCCAACCATAAAAAAGTAAAGAATGCTAATTATCTTCACACCAATCAATCCTAATTCCGACTATAGAAAGTTGCAGCAAGGATGCATAGTTTGTGCTTGGCTAACTTTTGCCAATTTCAATAAAGTTTCTCTCAATTTAGGGGAGAAATTGAAAAATGAAAGCTGTAAATTCTTGAAAGCACCCATTTTAACTGCGATTGGTATGAAGATTAAGACAAGACTGGAAACAGAGAGAGATGAATAGGGAGGGATGAGATTACGTGAAATAGGGAGGATAGCTGAAGAAAGGAGGGCGCTTGAATTCATCCTGTTTTTGCATCCTATCCTATGAAGCTCCGACAAGGCCCCAAATACGCAAAGCGATTCTGTTGGTGGTAATTTGGCGACTGCCGGAAGAGAAGCGCTCGGAGTGATGTTTTGTTTTTCCGGCGGAAAGGGCGGTGTAACAGCCTCGTACTTACGCACTCACAAACTATTCTCTCAATATTTTGTGCCCAGTGACACTATGTTCGGTGACATCCGATCGGTGACACTAAGGTAAACCTCAAGGTAAACCTACCCCTCTTCACCCCAAGGTAAACCTACCACCTCCATTCTTTCAATTGCACCCTACTAGTTTAATTAATTTTGGAATCAAAATTTTGATTTCAAAATCAAATAAACTTGAAGGTGTAATCGAAAGAGATGTGATCAAGTCGGGGCAATATAAGGGATTTATTGAGAGACTAAGGCAATGTTCCCCTTAACTTATTTTTTTACTTATTAGTTATTGTTATTGAAATCAAATTATACTAGATTAGAAATAATTTTATATATAATTACATTCAGATCAGAATCATTCAGATTAGATAAAAAAAACAGGTAAAAATAATATGTTGGGTTAAGGAACTCGGGGGCCTAGGATACTAAGCGAAAAGTATCGAACGAGAGCCGAGTATGCTCAAGTTAGGAATCAAGAGAAATTATGGATATTAAGGTGCGAGTGAACGTGTCTCTTCCCCTCTTGAAGAGGGGCTTATATACAGACTACAAACGAGCCTTTCTGACCGTTGGTCCGTAACCCAACGGGCCGAACCCATCCGATCCAGCCGTTCGATCGGTAGTGCATACTGCATGATTATCACTAGGGTGGCTACGCATGATGGGTTACAATAGGGTGGCTACAACTAATCTAACGGAGGCATGGCAGGAGTTCAATCGCGGGCCCACTGATTTGACCAGACATGCAGGTTCCCGTACGCTGTGGGCCAGGTCCAACGGCGACTCAGGCCGAGGCCGAGTACGCATGGACTGATCTTTGGGGAACTCCGACGGGGAGCCAGCCGACTACGATCCAAGGCTGAGTGCATTCTCCACGGGTCGAGCGTGGGTGTGTCCAGATGTGGTAGCTCATCTGGGACCTTGGGTTCCTTTCAGTTCTACCCAGCCGAGTGGGCCTGGTTTGGATCGGGTCGACCACTATTCCGATTGGGCCAGATACCCCAATTTCAAGGTATCCATCATAATCATTTTTATTAATAGAGTATCGTAGACCCCGGGAGCAAGGTCAAACTACATTATCATGTCAACAGCCCCGTTCCAATATTTTTAGTCTCGATATATTAAAAATCTTATAACTATGCTAGAAGTACACCAAGAAGCGCATTTCAAATTATACTCTAAAAAAATACGCCAAACTTTCAAGAGTATGAAATAGAATGTGAGTCCAATAAAAATAGGTACAGTCTTTGGGTTAAAATCAAAATTTTCTCTAAGTAATTGACACGGACGAAGCACTTGATCGTCCTTGGGCTTCTGAGTCGGACTTTCGAGCAATGGCATCCACCGCCGTGGTTACCGCCGACGAGAGGCGGACAGCTCAGTCGCGCCCGAAGCGCTTCATCAAGAACCAAATCCCCGAATCCATACTGAACGACGCGGCTCTCAACGCCGCCATCTCCCTCCTCCCGCGCAACTACAACTTCGAGATTCACAAGTGCGTTTGGCGAATTCGATCCACGGCGGCTAAGCGCGTCGCTCTCCAGTTCCCCGAGGGCCTCCTCATGTACTCCCTCGTCATCGTCGATATCATCTCCACATTCACCTCCGTCGCCGACTGCTTCGTCCTCGGCGACGTCACCTACGGCGCCTGCTGCGTGGACGATCTGTCCGCCGCCGCGCTGTCCGCGGATCTCCTCATACACTACGGCCACAGCTGCCTCGTCCCCATTGACTGCACAACAATCCCCTGTCTGTACATCTTCGTCGAGATCTCGATCGATGTAACCAAGCTTCTCCACGAATTGAAGATCAATTTCTCCCCGGAGCAATACGATGATTTCATCATGGCCGGTACCATCCAGTTCTCGACTGCAATTCGGGCTGTTAAACCGGAGCTCGAAAATCTAGGGTTTAGGGTTTTGATACCTCAATCTAAGCCCCTGTCAGGTGGAGAGGTTTTGGGTTGCACCGCTCCAAGCGTGAGCAACAAGATTAGCAGTCCAGAAACATCAGTTCTGATCTTCGTTGCAGATGGGAGGTTTCATCTGGAGGCATTCATGATAGCTAATCCAAAGATCAGGGCATATCGATACGATCCATACATGGGGAAGCTGTTTCTTGAGGAGTACGATCACGCCGGGATGAAGGAGGAGAGGAGAAAAGCCATAGAGAAGGCCAAGGGGGCAAGGAATTGGGGAGTGGTGTTGGGGACTCTGGGGAGGCAGGGGAACCCCAGGATCTTGGACCGGCTGGAGAAGAAGATGGAGGAGAAAGGGATGACGTGGACGGTAATCATGATGTCGGAGATATCTCCGGCTAGAATAGCTCTGTTTGAAGACTCGGTCGAAGCCTGGGTTCAGATCGCGTGCCCTAGGTTGTCCATAGATTGGGGGGACGCGTTCGTGAAGCCGCTCTTGACACCTTTTGAAGCCGAGATTGCCTTGGGTGATCTTCGCGGCTGGTGGGAAAGGAAACCGAAGCTGGAAAGATCAAAGAAAGAAACCTGCTGCTCGGTCTCGTGCAATGGCGACGACGACAGCAATGGTGGGGCTTTGGAAGGGAGGGAGGAAGAAGATTACCCAATGGACTATTATGCTCAGGATGGTGGGGAATGGAATTCTTGCTACTCCAAGAAGAAGACTGCTGAAACTTCACAGAGAAGAAGAGGACAGAACCCTTGCAACTCTTCAGCAGGCTGTTGTTGATTTTTCATGGATTCACTTCGCATTTGTAGTATTTATGATGTTAGTTATTTCATGATCACATTTTGACATCAAATTGAGATGATGTGCTTAATTCATTACTTCCCATGTTTTTATGCTCTGGTTAACTCTCGTCTCTTAGATCTTTATCAATTTATACTTCCATTTTTTTTTTCTTTTTCAGAAAAAGACTTTATCAATATTATTTCTCTTTCCACGGCACGGCGCAAACCACACCACACAAGTTCTACTCTGTTATAAATCGTGCCAATCCCATGCAATATGGTAAATGTAACTAGTAATATAATAAGCCAAAACAAATGTCTACCAAAGGGAAACGATTTTCTAATGAGAAAGCATAAATTTAAAAAGTTGCTGTAAAAAAGAAAGCATTTTGTTTAACCAATCGGAGTTCTTCATAAAAATTACTCGAAGATACTATTCATAACAAAAACCTAATACGAAAGGAAACATCAAAGTTGAATTCATGCAAGTATGGAATGAGTTAAAAAGTGGTGCAGCTGAGTTTACAGTAATAAATTTTAATGGATGCAGAAGAAGAAGTTTGCAGCCATTTACAATACGATGAAAAGAGGCCAAATCGCATCTTTACTTTTCGTCCCGGTTAAGACACTTAACTTAGACTCACTCATTACTGCAAAGGGAAAATCCAAGAAAGGGAGAAAGAAACACAGAAGAGAAGACGAGAGAGGGACGGTATCAGGCTGCAACAAGGTCAGGCGTTTCAGCCTCCACAGACAACAGGGCAGAGTGTACTTTGTCAACCCAGCTGTCGAGACGATCGCGCAAAGACTTGATTTGGGGAATGCCCAGAACCCTTGGTTGCACCCAAGAAACATAAACGCTTCCCTCCACTTGGTCAATTATTCCCTCTATCAGATGCACCTGCCACCATCATACCATTATTATGTGCACATTAACACCCCACTCAAACACTTGAACATTGTCAGATGACTGATAAAAAGAAAAAATTATACCAAGTACAAAAGAAAAAGCAGTGCAGAATTCTTTTTCTCTGGTTTTGCTGGAATTAAAGGAGATGATACTTTTCCCTCATTATTTAGATTTTATATTCACTAATGCATTAATGAAACATACTTCAAAAAAGTTTTTTTTAGATAATTCAGCAATGTAAGCCAATTCACAGAACTTCAACAAATCCAGAACATTTTTATCTTGTTAAACAAAATCATAGTGTGGCAGAGCATGCACTTACAGAAAGGCTCTTCATAAGGAGGTACTCCACATCTTCAACTGTTAATCTTGTGCGCTCTGCAATGATACTCAGCGGGATGGTTCTATCCTCAGACGGGCGACTGCATGGAGTCATATTTAGTCTTGAATGATAATAATGCACACTGGCTAGAAACATTTGTTCAGGAAAAAAGGGGAACTCCATTAGGTGGGGGCAAGAGGGGGTATCTTCATACCTGAAGATGATTTCCATCAAACATAGAATGTTGATTTTTTCCAAGAGCTTTTTCTCATTTTGCACCAGTGCTGGTTGAGAATTTAATGCACCTTGATGGACGTTGCACAATGACTGATAGCGAATCAAATCTCCAGCATTGAATGCTTCAAGAATATGGTAGAGCCACTCTACCTTTGTCCCCAAGAGACTCTTGATCTGTGATACAAACTTAAATGATTCAGTTTTGGTGATTATATTTAAAAAATCTGCCCATACATAGCATTGCCAATAAACTGCCCATACTTATTTTCATTTTTGTGAACCTGTACCCTTTGAATTGTGCAGAAGAAAACTTACAATGGGATGTGCAAGTAACTCTCCGAAGTTGTATATATTATCTCCAAGCAATGCTGATAGTGACAGGTCAAATGCCAAATCCTAAATAATGTAAAGAAAATTGGTAGTTCAGTAACAGATAGCATCTGAGCAGTGAACTTATATAATTTACAAAATATCGCATTCAAAATTTATTCTGCGATCAGCACCTAAAGTAGCCAAGCAGTTTGCATGGCACACTGAAGAGACTTGTGATGATTTAATTCTCATTAAGCAAGAAGCATGTAACAATTCACAATATTAAATAATTAATGCTTAATATCATGCTATGGACACATAAGCAAATGTAGAAGAAGAATATTCTTCCCTCCCCATAACGAGGAGAGGAGAGTAGTCCGTGACTAGCCTCATAATGAAAAATTTAACTTCAACCATTGACAATTTTATTAATGAATACAACACCTCTATTTATACTACTAAGAATCTTGATGAACAAGTTAATAGCATCCTAAACTAATATGGAGTACATTGCTATAAGGAGTATTAACTAAAATAGAGTACTAATACTAATAAAAAACTATTACTACCAATATTACTAATACAGGAATGGACTATTTATAATTCTAATCATATAAGGAAACTAATTCTTATATTACTAAATAACACTATAATGATGATAATAATAATAATAATAATAGTCACAGCTCAAAACCATGACTTTTCTGCCTTTGGCAGTTGCAGCTAACTAGATTGAGAGGCCTATATCGCTAAAAAAGATTGAGAAGCCTACTAGTAAATAAGTTACCCCAAGTATCCTGACAATACTTTTAATCTCTGATTACATAACATATGAAATTCTAAAACTATCAACCAACTATGTTACATATAAGAAGTGTCAGTTTAGACATTCTTGAGATGAAAGGTATGACCCAATTCCTTCTGCTGAAATTTAATTTTTAAAAATCAGTTGGTAGCATGAACCAATCTTAATCTTGTAACTTGGTCTTTCATAGTTATTAATGAACTCATACATTACCTTTTGATATCTTCTTACATCAGGAGCACACAAATTCATATCCTAGGACTTTACAGATCAATACTGACCAACCAGCAACCAAAATTCATGTTTGTACATTGCATTCCTAGAGCTTTTGAGAGACTTGTGAATGAAAAATAACATGGTAGAGGTAAGATCTGCGGCTACGCAACCCTCTCCACACCCCACTTGTGGGAATACACAAGTTCTGTTGTTTTTATATAAATGAAAAATAACTTTGATATAAAAATGTTGCACCAGAAAACAAATGTCCTGATGCACGGCACTAAAATCTTATACTCCCGCCATCTCAAAAAATATTTCCTGATTACTATTTTAGGCTTTAAATAACTTTTGTTTATGTGTGATTTTCATTGGTCATTTGATAAAATAATATATTCTTCTTACCACTTATGTTGTAGAACTTTTGATGTAGTTTTTAAATATGTAAGTTATACTTTTTATTTCTATACCAATATGTAATAAAATCATTTAAAATAAATGAGATTTTACACGCTGCTCGAAACTGAAAAAGTTTTTTTTTGGGACGGAGGGAGTATTAATCTTGTAATATAAGACACATTGTGTGCAATCGTACATTTCCTTTTGATGTCTTCTTATTTCAGGAGCACAAAATTCATGTCCTATACTTTACACTCAGCACTCAACAACCTACCAATCAAATTCTAAAATGAGTATCTGCCATTATGTTCAGAACCACCACCTACCCTCAATCCCCTTCTTCCCTTGTGCAAATGAAAATCTGAGAGACAGAGACTATGACAGCCCCTGAAATCATAATGAGATGATAGGAAAACCTACTCACCAACTTAAATGCGTCAGATAGAGACTCCACTGAAGTATAAGCAAGATAGAGGAGAGCACTCTTATAGAACTCTGCGAATTCTTGCCGAAACTTATGATACTGAGAAGAAACCCAATAATAGCTTGCATGCACAGATGGATCAATATCAGTCATGCTATCAAGTGTACTGTTTCCCTCTTCCAAAAGATTCTTGCATGCTTTTTGATCCCCTTGTTCGAGCTTAAGCAATGCAATTTGCATCTTAATATAAACGATGGGTTCCTCTATGCGCATTTCTTTAGCACTACGCAGTTTCTCGATCACACCTTCAAGATAACTAATAGCAGCTTCTTTCTCTGGGTACTGACGAGAAACAATGACACAGAAATGTGCCAATTTGAGAAGATTGATCTTTGTCTCGAAGTCAGTGATGAAATTATGATAAAACTGTATCAGTGCATCTCCAGCCTGAAAAAAACATAGCAAAGTATCAGCATTGGAAACATACATCTAATTGGTGCCTTTCTACGTTCTCGTTCATAAACCATGCCATAGAACATCTGAAAAAAAGAGTGTAATAGCTTACAATATATAGATTCAAATGCTAGCAGATTTAAATTTCAGTAGTGCCCACACACATGAACTATCAAATAAAGCCATGTGGACTGGACGTCTTAGATTCTCTTAAGAAAAGAACCAGACATTCTCCCTCTTAGTGAACTCTATTCCTAGAGCATGGTTAATAGTATAGATACAAATTCATAGTTTGTTATGAATAACAAAAATGTTCAAACTTCAACTTAAGTTGGCTAAAAACAAATGTTATGCTATTAAAATCAAGGGCAAACCATAAAAGAAAATATTATACAGTATGAAAGAAGGTTTGAGATTTTATGAATCATCCAGACACATTCTTTTCCTTCAATGTTTCACACCAATAAAAGGCGAGTCTAATTGCATTAACTCCCTTTGATCTTCAAACTATGGAATTTTCTCTACTGATTCTTTTCACCTGATTTCACTTACATTACAGGTAGATCGACAAATTGTTATAATTCGTCGGGATCTGAGAAGGAAACCCATAATAAATTTGCATGTTCATTTAACTTAATCTCTGTATGCCCTCAGGAGAGCACCAAGAAAGTTCCAAATACTGTTTTACACAAGTTCAAAACCTGTTACAGGTTGAACAAGCCCACACCCACATAAGCATAACTATGATTCATCTTCCCTCGGCATTCCTCAGTCATTTCTGTAAATTCAACTCTACTCAGACACATTGACAAGCCTGAAAACCATAATTCTCAGGCACACTCTAACCATAGATGCTCTCAATTACTCAAAAACTCAATTCACTCAGAAATACAACTCCCATCCAACCAACTCACAAATCCACAAACACATTGACAAAATCGAGCACATATGCTGCAATAACAAATGCAAAAAGTCAACTGTTCTCTGAATACCTGAAAGACGGACAGAGAAACGAATTCCTCCAGCTTGAGAGTGAGCTGGTGCCAGAGCTTTCTCTGGTACAGATCCGAGAGGTTAGTGTACCAATCGGAGAGTTCGGGGTGGGCATTGCGAAGCGAGTCCAGGTATTGCAGCGCCGCCATGGCTGATTCCGGCCGGCCGACTAGCTACGAAGAAAAGAAGAAGACGGTGACGAGGAAGACGAGATGCAGCTGAACAGAATACAGATGCGAGTATGTATATATGCGTAGAATATCAATATACTGAGAGTATATATATATATATATATATATATATACACTACTCCGTATATATAAATAAAATCAGAGACTAAAACCCTCCTCCTTCTCGAGTCTCATCTGGATTTTTCCCCCTTTCTTTCTGATCAGGAAAGGAATATTGTGGCCTGTTTTGGATTTTAGATAAACTTATGTGGTCACTTGGTGAATATTTTTACAAGGACTTTTGACTAGTGACCCTTTGAGTAGTTTACAACTTTACATTTAGGACCCGTTTTATTGGCAAAAAGAGATTACACTCTCGTAATTCTTATAAAATACGGAGTATGAATTTTGAAATCGAAAAAAGTATTATGACTCTTCAAAATTGAAAGTAAAAGTATTTTAAAAAATCTAAAATAAAAGTTACAAGCGTGATGGTGGGTTCCCGAATTTATCTGGGTCAATCTAAAATTTTGAAGGATTGGTGAACACTTTCTAGCTCGATCGCTCCGACGGGCCAGTCCAGACCGATTTTAATTTTGATCAAAATTACCTCATTTGGGAGTGTTATGATCGAAAGATATCAAATCCAATCCAAACTTTATAATATAATTATGTCATCAGTTAGAGTTCTAGACAATAAATAAAGTCAAAAATAAAGAGAAAGACTAGATTGAACAAAAAGGAATAATATCACACTTAAATTGCTTCAATTTTGAGTACATAGACTAATTTGAACGTTATTACATAGTACAAAAATTTCTACGATACTTTGTCCCCGTCCAAATGAGTCAAGGCCATATTATGACATCAAGTGTTGGTGTCAAAAAGAACTATCCCCATATAGATTTACCCTAGTACATATTTAAACTACAACATCATTCATCACTGCCAATAGTTTCTTTCCTTTGTGTGTGTGTGTGTGTGTGTGTGTGAGAACCCATGGGTACTTGTGCTCATACAAAGTTGGGAGGTGAGGTAAAAGTTGACACTAACTGTAGGGGTGGGTTCCCTTCACTCTTTGTCCATAATAACAAGTCCAATCCAGTTCTTGGTACATACATACACACATGTATTGTATAGTGCAAACTCGCCTCTAACAACGTGTACGCGAATTCAAACAAGAAAATGAATTGAAGCCAAGCAGATTCATTCATTAAACAACTGCTCCGTATGTATAGTGTATGTATCTCCCCCACCCCACCTTGTTGTCATAACGGGAGAGGGGTGGGGTGTGGTAAGGGAGAAGAAGAAGAAGAAGATGATAAAAATACTTCGTATGACACACAAAACAAAACAGCAAATTCTTGTGAAGTCAAGACTCTTCAAGCAATCCGATGATACTGTGCTCCGGTGCACTAATGGATGGAAAAATGGGACGTGCAGAGGGGTGTTGACGCGTTGTTGTGCTGGCTGCCTCGGGACCCACAGCTACCCCTTCATGCACTACTTCCAGGTCAGATGGTTTTCGCGCGCCCAAAACTCGCTCTTCCCAAATTCTTCCATCCTGCATCCACAAAATATTTATATATAAAAAAAAGAATGCCTTGAACATTATACAATTCTTTCTATAAAACCTTACTGCCCCTTTAGTTCCTTGCTTATTCAGTTATTTATCTTATGAGTCTTATCAACCAATTTCCTCCCAAATGATATCTTAGCTGATTACATATCTGAATATGCCATAGCAACAAACCCAGAAAAAATCCCACAAAAAGTAGGGTGAATAGGCTAATCTTAAGAAAAAGCTAGTGCACAAGTTTCTTTTTTTGTTGCTGAAATGGCATAAATGAAAACGAATTACTCTTCTGTCATCATATTTGGGGTTTTATGTAATTTAAGATAATAATCCAATTCAAAAATATCAAGAATTCCAACCAGAGTTTAGCAAGACGAGTCATTTTGGGCAATTTTAATCACACCAAACAGGCTTTAACTGAGTGGCTGAGTGCATAATAAAGAAGCTATATATAACAAAATCAAGCTTGAAACGTACATTGAGTATTGAAGGTTCAGGCAGCGGGCATCGGATAGGGGCATCGTTGTCAAAGGGCTCAAACGGGTGTTCAACGGGCTTGAATCCAACCGCAACTTCAATGCCATGAGTGCAGACAGCTGCTGCTGCTCCAACTATAGAAGTAGCAATTGTTGCCTCTGGTTTAGAAGGCAATGCATCCCTCACATCCTACATTATGTAATAAACCATCAAAACTGTAATGATTGCCAATTGGAACTAAAAGAATCGTTATTTGACAACTTTTTAGTTTCGATTAAATAATGGACTTAATCAAAATGACCTGCCACATTAAACTTCATTTGCTCATTACTTTCTATGAAGTTTTAGATAGTAAATGCACCAATGCAATAAACAGTCAGGTAGAAACATTTGCACGAGCCCATTACACAATTGCACTTACAAGAAGTACTAGTCTACCATTATTTATGGGAATATCCGGATTTGATTACTCACGGTATTCTCTTTTCAACTTATTTTTTTAGTTCAGTGCGTTTCATAGTTTAAATCACAAGTAACTTTCCGCTTGGTTTAAATTTCATTCGAAAAGAAAAAGATCACTTCACGAACACTCTAAGAACAAATACTCCCTCTGCCCGGATTTATCTGTCCATTTTCTTGTTTTCGTTTGTTAGAAACTAGCCAAAGGAGTTCAATTGTCCATTTTCCTATAAATCTTTAATTGTCCCCCTTTTATAAATATCTCATTTTTCTATAAATGAGGTTATAATGTCAAATGAGTTTGATACTCATTCACGTCAAAAATGCTCTTAACTTATGTTTGGTATAGTTTACACAATTCATTATACTCGTAATTTCTTTATTGAATATGGAAAGTAGACAACTAGATCTATACGCACAATACAATATATTGCACGGGGAATGCAAATCAGGCAAACGCATATCCATTCATTATCAGATCAATAATAAATAACAAACGCAACAATATGGAAACCAACCGGATCAGCTCAAACTCATTTGAATGCCTTATTTGACATTTTAAACTCATTTCCTAAAAATGTACTCCCTCGGTCCATAATTAATTCTTAAAAATCTCATTTTTTTAGGTGTGGGTTTGATGCTCAACAATGCCCATAACTTATTTCAGTATACTTTAGACAAATCATTATAATTTCTTTGTTGAATATAGAAATTGCGGGACAAGCAAAAACAAGAAAGTGGACAAGAAAAACAAGAAATTGGACATGGCATACAAATCAAGCAGACGCATATCTGTTCGTAATCAGATCAATGATAAACGCAACAATATGGAAACCGCCCAGATCGGATGATAGGAAACTAGAAAAAAAAGTCAACCTTTTTCAAAAGAAAACAAGCAAAGCAAGCTTAAAACCTAGGGAATCAAGAAAGCTACGGACCGAAAGAGAGAGAGAAAAAAGCTTACAAGTGCACTCTGAGCTCGTCTATGCCCATTCTTTGAAACGGAAAATCTTGAAAAGATGCCCACCATTTTGAGCCGATTATGACGAATCAATCGACTGCGAATCTGAAAGGAGTTAACACGCGATTGATCTATTCACTACTCCGTATTTCGTTCCGCTCTGATTACATACAACAAAAAGAACCAATTTTTGTTATCATGTTTCACAAAGTTGTTTTTTTGTCTAGCTGAGTTACTAAAAATTAGAAGCAATTACATTGTTTGAAAATAAATATTTTAAAATTGAATATAGCGTTATTTTGAAGTGAACTTTATGCTAATCAGATTTCAGAATCAACACTATACTCAAAAATAAATATTTTGTTCCTTTAAAAAAATAAATATTTTATTGGTTCAAAATGAATATTCACCGAATACATGTACTAAATTTTAGTTCGTACAATCAAATGTAAGATATACATTTTTATATCATAATGCTTTGTGTTTCTAGCAACTTAGAATAAAAAAACAAGATATATTTATATTTCTTGTAACTTAATTTAAATTATATGTCTAAATGAAATTATCTTCAAAAATTCAAGAATCAGGAAATTGCATCACTTTATTAATACTTTGTTATATTGATTTTTACTACAATATTTAATTGTAAAACTAAATAAAAATAGAAACCTTTAGAAAATTTATTTAGACAAGATGTCATAAAGTGTATTATTTCTTTTAAAGGGAGTGCAAAAGTGAAAAAAATACAAACTTTATGTTACGAAAAAAATAAAAAAAAAATACTATTTATAAACTTCATTGCAATCTGAATTTATGTTTGAAAACGTGATTTACTAATGATTATAGGTAAGGGCACCATCATTATATTTTCCCTACTACTGCAGCTGTGCCAACAAATGGAAGCGGGTAACAAGCCGGGACACCGGTAGGCCAAGAGTTCGTGGGCAGGGACAGATGGCAAGCGAGGGTTTCGACGACGACGACTTATGGAGCGACGCCGATTTCGTCGGAGCCGTCGCGGAGGCTGTTGAGGCGGTTGAGCTCGCCTCTACGCAGCGCAACCTTCTTCCCCCGCCCACTCACCCACATCCGCCGCCGGCGGCCACTCCGTCGCACTTCGTCGGCATTAGTTCTTCACCTCCATGGAAGGCGTCTCAGTTAGTTGTTCCACAAGTTGCCGCACCCTCCACTTCCAAGGATTCTAATGGCGTCTTTCAACAACAAGAAATCGATAGATTGAAGGTCGAAGGGTTTTACACTATGTGCATATTCTATAGTAATCTTGCAATTCTTTAGAAATTTTTCAATGATTAAACCTTGCCAATTCATTTTTTCCATTGCTCTTTGAAATATTATACCAAGTGGCTCATAATGCGAACTTTAAATCTTCTGTTCTCAGGGAGAGCTTGGCCGTGTTTCAGAGCTGCTTGCGCAGAAGGTATTGCAAACATTTTGTATCTACATTCTATAATGCATGTATATGAGATTAATAACTTCATAGGATAAACACTTGGAGAAAGGGCCTGCTCTAAACTGGCCTACACGGAGGAACCACACATTTATTTTCTTAAAAGGAATTGAAACTTTACTTTGGGACGTCCCGAGAAAGAAAATGAGAACTCAATTTTTGGGATAGGGGAGTATAATATTGGAACAATGATACTCTGTAGTAATCAATTCGAACCATTTCCACTAAATACAATGTTTTTGAGTCTTTGGTTATTTATAAAGTAGCTTTAACAAATCAATTAGTTCAACCAATAAGCCAATGAATGATTAGTCAACTAAACCAATATATATTCATTAAAGTAAGTAATACGGAGTAAAGCAATAGATTAATTTTAAAAATAATCTAACACTAATTCACTAAGTTCAAACGATATTCTAAAATTTTCTATCAACCACTTACAAATCTCAAACCCATCCTAGAAATCCTTCTTTTGCACCAGCTAGCTTGAAGAGTTGAGGGGCAACATGAACAGAACAGATGATAATTAACTCCAAAGATACTTGGCAAATTAACACCCTACACATTAGCACTAGGGAGTTTGAGAGAACTGGAAAGACTTGGGGTTTTAGGGACTAGGGAGTTTGAGAGATAAGGGAGGGGTAGGGTGACTCACTCGTTTTGTTAGTGAGAAAAATAATAATTGCGCATGTGGGGTTCTAACTACTAACTTCTTAAGTGACAAACACATGCACCTCACTATCCACTAAACGGAAACTAGAATTGCTAGACATTGTTACAATTATAGATTTATTGAATAAATTAATGATTACAAAATTTAAAAAATATCTAATATATAAATATAATACGGAGTACTACGTGAAGGTCTGTGGGGTCCGGGGATCCATGTGACTGAATTTAGGTCCATCTATGGCTGTTCACTGCATTCTGCTTCTATAAAAAGAAAAAGTTACGAACAAATATCTCTCAGCACCGAATTCCGAAATTGTTTATTCCATTAGATATTCTTTATATACAGGTTTGTCTAATTTCTTTCATTTCGGTCAATATACAAATTACAACTTCAGGAACAGGAATGCATTATGTTGAGAAAGCATAGTGAAGAAAAAGAGACAAATGCTGGTGAGAGTTTACTAGAAGTGTATCAAAAATTTGATTTCTTGATTGGTTGATTATAATATGTCATGCTATTTATCTACATATCTATTGAATCATATTGTCCACGCTTTTGCTGAGTTTTTACAGTTCAGACTGAAAGAGCCAGTGTTTCTACCATATCAACGGGTGAAAGTGATTCTCCTTCCATGATTAAGAAAAAGTTGTTAGATGCATGGGAGTCACCGACTGGTCAAAATCTAGGGAGAATTTTTGTTTCAAAACTGTTAGAGACTTGCGAAGCTGATTTCCGCGTTCTCTTTGGATTGCTGGATTCAAGTTTCCCCTCCAAGATGAGAACAGAAAGTTCCTTTTCTAACTCTGGAGTTGCTAAGGAGGACAATCTGCTGCAAGATCATCTCAATGTCTCTGCAAAAGTATCTCATCTTTATTCCGTTTTGACAAAGGTATATGTTCAAGTGATTCCGCTATACTGTTCTTAGCATTGATGCATTACATACACATATCTCATCTAAATCGTTTCAACCACGATTCACTTAACACACTTGTGTGGGCAGTTCTATTATCATTTTATATGGACCCTTTACAATTTACACCAACGAATGCATGGTTCTAGCTTTCTAAATCTCATCGAGTCATTGGTAGTTCTTTTGGATGAAAGAGCAGTTAACCAAAAAGTTTGCGTTGAGAATAAGGATAGGGAACACTCTCATTTTCCCTTCTGTCTTCCTTAGAGTCAGTTCTTCATCACCGTATTGTTAGGGTGATAAAGGTTCTTAGGTATGTATCACAAAAACCTTTTTATTTAATCCATACCTGCAATGCTTACAACTTCTATTACCATTTTTCAGATTAGCAATGAGATGATTAGATTGGATGGTCTACTCGATGCATTAGTTGAACTTTGCCAACTTAAAAATGTGAGTTATGGCCCAAGTATGTTTGGTTCTCTTATTTTTTAGTTGGTTTTGATGTCTTTGGTCTGAATCTATAGGCATCTTTCAAAAAGCTATAGTTGCTACTCTCATCAATGTTACCCCTCAATTTTAAAACTCCCAATGGTATCATATTTTCATTCCTATATTCTATCTCCGGCTATTAATTATTGTACACTTGAAGTTGATTCTAGATTGTTGAGGGGTTGAGAATACACCATCATTTGTGTGTGGGGGTGTTTTTCCCTTTAGTTCAAAATGCGTGTAGTGTATCTTGTATTATGCATATGCAAAGAATCTGAATTTTTCAACTTGTGTTCTGCACTACATGTCATATTTGTTGCCACACATTTTTTGGTTCACCTTGGTTATATTGACACCAAGGTAGAGTGTCATATTAGGACACTCACTCTAATTGGGACTCCTATGGTGCTCCGTTCCAAAAATTGATGGTTTCTACCCCCTAACACTCGGTAACCCCCTCCCCCCGGCCCAACCCGAATCCACCCCGCCACCCCTTCAATTGCACCCTCAAATTTAGTTGACTTTGGCAGTTTGGGGTCAAATTTTTTACCGAAAAGTCAACTAAATTTGACTTTGGGGTCAATTTCTTTACCGCAAACGCGCAAAGTCACTTTTGTTTATATTGGTCTGAGGCCCCTTCAATTAAATAAAATTAGAATTTTAAGTTACATTTAGGAAATCATAAAGATCAAGCTATTGTAAATGTATCAACAGGTTAGGAATCACCAGGGCTTCATTTAACTGCTTCTGGCTCATCATAGTCATATCTAAGTTCAAGAGTTATAGCTTTAGTGTTTTACTAGCACCAATGAAAGAGTTCTGCAACTTGGAGATCTTTGGAGCTTCATTCAAGTGTTCTGTGTTCTTCCACGTGTTTGATTCGTTTACTCTAAAACTTGTCTTGGTTTTTCGTAGCTCTTTTGATCCACGAAGCTTAATTTATGTTATTTGATGCTTTTATGCTGCTTGTTTCATGACCTATTGTACTCCCTCAGCTCCATTTTAGTTATCATACTTCTCTTTTTAGTAATTTAGTTTGTCCCAATATAACATGTAATTTACTACCTAATATATACACCTCTAATTTTTATTTTCCAATTCACCTTTTTTTCTTAACTGATTGAAATGATTCAGCATGTATGATTCACTTGAGTGACGCTTGGAATGTGCATTTCATAGTACATTTTTTCATTGGAACTGCGTAAAAAGAAAATTTCTCTTATAAGTTGGGGTGGAGTGAGTAATTTCTTGATTATCATCTTAAGTATCTATTTCTGAATGCAGGTTGTTATAATGTACAGGGCTCTGCATATACTGCATGAGGTTTTAAGCTGCAGTTTCTTTGCAGAAAAGAAAGACGATAGAAGGTATGCTATTGTTGCTCATTTGCTCAAGTACATTAGTTAAGTACATTCCTTATGCTTTCCCTCCTTTATTAGATTAACCAACTTAGCATTTCTTGCATTACCAAAAGCTTGCGTGTTTATGAGTTCTCCAAACTACTTTAATATTGAAAAAAATTGAATGAATGTTTGAATGGTCTAATACTATATTAAGAGAGCCCATTAGAAGATTTATGACACTCTTGCACTTCTGGGCCCCGGATGTGGTTGTATCTTCTCAAACTTTTCATTTTCAAATAGACAACTAAATTGACAATAATGATATTATCTTCTATGTGATTGCAAATTATAATAGCTATTAAAGTATTAAGTAGTTACATTCTAACTAAAAAAGTTCCACTGCATGCTTGTATGTTACATTCTAACTTCTAAGGTAGACATTGTCATGTTATATTTTGATCTCTCTGTCTGACTACTCAATGCTCATACTCTCATATGACACAACATACATTCCATGTGCATTCTCTTCTCTTGAGGTCCAGCAATTCATTTCCTTATGTGCTTTAGTTTGATTTTTTCAGTGTAATGTACCAGGTCCAATGTGATTTTTGAGGAGATTGATGAAAATAGACCTTCTAGAAGAGGAAGCCATTCCAAAGAGATACTAAATCATAACGCCGTAGATCGATTGGATAATAGTGATGCACTTTCCAGAATGGGATCATTCAATCCTGGAACTTCAGTATTCACGTCATGTTTCAACTATCTCTCATTGTTTGAACTGATGTGCCAAATTATAATGATGAATGGTTTAGAGCATATCAGATGGGAAGCAGTTTCTATTATGAATTTGATCCTTGTAAGAAAGCATACATTCTTGGAGAGGGAAAAGTAAGTGAACAATTACTGAGTAATTATGAATTTATCTTTTTATTTTTTAAAAACCCCTTTCATTGACTGTGACCTCGTTTCCTCCTCTAATTTGTTTGTGTTTTGTCAGCATGTGTACACTTCTATTTATTTATTTATTTATTCATTTATTGAGCTAGGTTTGGATCAGATATAGTGTTTCAAAGTGTTTCACTACTATTGAGGAAGGATGTTGGCTACCGTGTAAATAAGCAAGCTGTGCGCCTTCTTTACCTGCTGCTTAATTGTAAGTGCATGTATTGCTTTTTAGAGAAAAGGTTTCTCTTAGATGTTACTCCATGTGTCCCATTATTATTTTTTCTGTATGGTTTACTATGTTTGATTGAAGTTATTTTCAATTCATTTTATTAAAGTATCGGTGTAGAATTGAAAAAATAAAGTTAATATATTTAAAAATTACCAAACAATCTACAAAAAGGAAGTGACATGGCTATGTTGTAACAAATGGTTAACGAAAATAGGCAATGAAAGAAGATTCGTTGAATAGTAAACATGAAAATAATAATTGGATAGAAGGAATATAAAATATAGAGTAAATAAGAATGAACTTCAACGTGGGAATAATTTTAGAATCTGTCTCATTCTGCTTAGAGGTCAATGGTTGCTGATGCTATGACCTTCGTAAATATTTATCTTCCATTGCTTAGAATCTGTCTCATTTTGATTTATTCCATCACACTTTGGGGTGTGATGGAATAAATCAAAATGGATCTCTAAACTATCTGCGCTTCTCTAATTAATGAAGTAGCAGTTAGTCAAGCAATGCAACTTTTGACGTTGAGCCGGGGGTCTCTTTGGAAACAGCCTCTCTACTTTCGAGTAGGGGCAAGGTCTGCGTACACATACCCTCCCCAGACCCTACTCTTGTGGGATTTAACTGGGTTGTTGTTGTTGTTGTTGTACTTGGAACATAGAAGTCAACCCAATCAAGCATTGAGTTTACACAGAAGGGAATAACAGTTTCATGTTTATGTCAATTATCTTTTGAACTTTTATGTACACACACATACAGATATATATATATATATATATATATATATATATATATATATATATAATGATGCCATAACATTTGGGCCTCCGTCAATGTATCCATGGAGGAAAAACAAAAGTCAGTTCAAGGCTTTCAAACAATAATTAGACTATGATCTTCAATATATATATATATATATATATATATATATATTGAAGATCATAGTCTAATTATTGTTTGAAAGCCTTGAACTGACTTTTGTTTTTCCTCCATGGATACATTGACGAAGGCCCAAATGTTATGGCATCATTTTTCAACAATTTCATGGGAGGGAAAAGTACAGGCACTGCTGATGCAAGTTCAAAAACTGCTTCAACTTTTCAAGTAATCTGTAAGATTTTTGAAGGATTAGCTGAATGTCTATCTTGTAGCGGGAAAAGCGCCGAGGTATGCTAGGTAACCCCAACTCCATATATTCTTCTGTCATTATTTTTCATCCGTCGTTTCCATTCTGGGTGAGTGAAAAATTACGAGTTAGTTGTCTATCTTTATTTCATTTCTTCATTGGGCTGCAACAACTCTTGCACTCTTAATGATTTTCCAATGACGTTCTTGCCGCACATGCTTCTACAATGGAAATAATTCATGCATACTCTGTTTTAGAATGTAAGTTCAAACCAGACATGTGAAATACTCACTTTTTGTAATCAATGCAAAAAATAACAAGAACTACACATTAATTTAGATTTATCGGGGTTATGCTAGATGTAGCTTAGTTTTCTTGAACAAACTGAGACTCACATACTGGAGTTACAAACTTATTGATTTGCTTCTAATTACTCTCGATAACATGATATAGGGAAGATATTTGGTGTAAAATGCTGTTCATATTCCAGAGGCCAAATTAGTTGGGATATGTTTGGAACCTGGAGAATGCTACAAAATTTTATTTTCTTATGTTTAGTTTTAATTTTTAACATATTTTTAGATTTCTTGGTCTTTATATGAAACAAGAAGCCCAGTATAATACCAGTTCCTATAAAATAACAGGGAACCTGTTTCTGATACACCTTTGATGCATTGCTGCATTACAACAACAAATCCAGTATAATCCTATTTCTATTGGGATCTGAGGGTCAAGTTGTAGGCAACATTACACATGTGGAGAGGTTGTTTCCCTTAGACTGTGGTCGCATTGCTGCATTTACTGCCCAAAACTTCATAGAAAGTGAAAAGCAGGAGACATTTAATGTGCATTGTTTGATTTAGTCCATTACTTGCCCTAAGCTAAACCATTGTCAAAGTGACTTCTAGCTCCATTGGGAATGGAGGACATGATGCACTGCTGTATTATTTCATAGAGACTAAGAAGCGGAAGAAGTTAAATCTGCCATTTGGTTTGGTCTATTAGTTACCCGAAGTTAAAACATTGTCAATAATGACTCTTTTAGATCCATTGGCAAAGGGCACATTTTTTAGTAGACATAAATAAAGTGAACATCGACAAACATGTAAAATAAATTTATTGAGTTTTAACCTTTCTTTTATTTCCTCATGTTTTCTATCCTCATATTCCTCTATGTTTTCCTCCCTATTTTCTCTCCCTAGCATTTCCCAAATTTCAGATGGACCCTTAGTGCATATTGACTTTATTTAAAAATCATGGGGGCAAAACAGTACCACAAGATTTCATGTTTAGCCTGTTTTTAATCCCCCTTAATTTCCAGGAATTACAGGTCCAAAGGCATTCAATAATTTTACTGGCTTTCCTTGTTTCTTGTGGGAAAACTGGCATTGAAATTCTTCTAAATCATAGGCTTCCAAAAAGGACAGGCTTCTTAACAATAATTTTGCAGAGTTTAATATCTGTTTTGGACCTAGAAGCACGAGATACTGCTACACATCCTGAAGAATCTAAAGAAAGGTATCTTCTTTCAGCCCTTCCCATTATTAATTACTACCTTCATCCCAAATTAAGATTGTGTATGACTCGGAACACCACTTAAGAAACTGAAGTTGTGTAGTTTAGATTTATGCAGATGAGAGAAATAATATGTACCACGATTCTTTTTTTTTGAAAGAAAACAAGAGCAACATTTTGGGATGAAGGAAAAAGGAAAGCATAAACCTTTTTTGGGATGGAGGGAGTAAATTCCTTTTGCAAATTACTTCTTGTATACAGTAAGTAATGTAATAAGGGTTTTTTTAGTGTTTGGTGACCTTAGTGACTACCCCTCCATCTGGTTTCAAGAATGTTATGTCCTTCCCAAAAAAGTTTGGTTAAAAAAAGTCAATGTTGATTTTAAAGTAACGATCATGTAAACCCAGCGGGAAGCACTTTTAGTAAGTTGCACCAAACAACCTTGGTAATGTAAGGGTGGCCCTTAGGGGGTATAAGTGACCATCATAACTTGTAAAAGCTAGTTCCTTGTTTGATTTTACTAAAAACCAATGGGGATTTTGCTACTTTCATTCAATGTTTAACTCAAGATTTGACTTCACACCTCATATTTTGTTTTCTTACACTTTGCACTCCAAAGGACTCCAGAATGGGGTGCAAAGTCAAATACTAAGGTGTNCATGAGGCGTAAAGTGTAAATGAAAGGAGTCACTCGGGTGCAAAGTCAAATATTGGATGAACTTGAGGTGTTATTTCCCAAACTAAAGCGTTGTATTTTTGGATGAAGGGGGAGGCAGTAATATGTAAAACTGGTTCCTGATCTTGTGCGAAAGCTCTGTCCTTTGCTTGTTCATCGCTCATATCTGCTCCACTCTGTTTTTCTGGCAGAACTCTGATGATCAGAGAAGCACTTATTCTTCTGAACAGAATTGTTTCACATCCCCAATACGCCGGGTCGGTTCTATTGGCACTGACGAATCGCAGGCACATAGCCAGGTTGAGTGTTGACACCGCGAGCAGGTTATCCCACAAGGGTAAGTGCCTATTGCATTGCGACAGCATAACGCAACAGATTAGGGAATCAGAAATTGTTGAGCTTGCCCAGGGTTTTCAGAGAAGACTATACACATTTCTAGGGGCTAATGCCTCAGGAAAGAAGCCATCGTGAGAGTTTCTTTCTCAGTGAAGTGTGCCACTATCAACACATCACTTCCTTGCTTCTTTTATGTTTTTTTTTTTCTGTTTTGTGACCCGTATAATGTGACACAGTAGAGCAAGCCTGATCAAATTCAGATCCTTTTGGACGATTCGTGACTTGTATATGACTGGATGAGATCAGTAATAGTAAGCTAATATTCTCAATAACCTCAACTGTTTGCTCTTGGTAGTTTGTTTAATCGCTCGTATGTTCTTTTCGATTGAACTTTACTGCATTGGACTCTGTTAAAGTTGAGTAATTTAATATAGTTTAAATTGCTAGCTGAAAAATGTTGAAGTGAATAGAAAAGAACGTGTCCTTTTCTTCCTGTGGTTTTGTCTGTCCTCCATCCGCCTTGATTGCCGTCCATTGTCTACAACATTGTGAATGTGCTTTTCAAAGGGTATTTTTGGCATTTCATAATTTTAATGTTAAATATAATAACTAGATAAACTAATTTGGATGCCCCAAAAAAAAAATAGATAACAAAATTCAAACGGAGGAAGTATACATATATTACGGAGTACGGAGTATAAGATAAATCCATTTTTGATGCCATTGTTTGGCACCATGACAGTTTCTTTTGAGCCGTCAATTTTTAATTTGTTTGCAAAAGCTGCATTTTTGTAGTATGGACAGGCCCGAGCCCGATCCATGGCTAGAGACGAGCAAAAAGCCCATTTTATGGCCCATTTGTTGGCCCATTCTGAGGCAGAGCCATAATGGAACAAGTATCAATAGGAAGTATTTTATGTATTGTGAGGGATCCTTTTCTTCTTCCCCACTTCTTCACTTGTAATTTCTACAAAAATATCCTTATAGGTATTTTTGTATGTCATTATCATAGTCAATAGTGATTTACCAAACATGCACGATACATCTACAAAAATATCTTAGATATTTTTGAATGCCATTATCAAAGTCAATTGATTTACCAAACATATATCTACAAATGATTAATGCTATGATACTATCTGCTTGTCAAACAACATATTCTGCCATTACCAATTAGCTAATACAATCCAATATAAGCTGCCAAAAGAGACTTGAATTTCCTCCACACAGATAAAACATTAGAGCATAATTTCATTTTATGGAGAGAGGGAGTACCATGTCCCTAAGATTCTCAGAACAACAACAACAACAACAACAAGACATTCTCACAATTGAATGAGATGAATGCCGAAAGCAAAGTCTAATGACGCAAAAAAACAGAAGTTTCAGTTTTCGACAACGCAGTTTGATCCCATCACCATATTTCCTTACCAAACCACGGTTCTCCTCCTTTGATCTCAAACGAGCCTCCCGTAGGTCGAGACCCACCTTCTGTTATGAAGCCCGGATGAGAGGAAACCTGCGGTGGCAAGAGACTCCACGTGCAGTCCACGCCAGAACTCAACCCCAGACTTGTCAAACCTGCAGAATTGTCCTTATGCATATCGTGATCATCTGCATTGAGATTCATCCCAAGCGGATTCCTGCATTTTTTCCCCCACATTTTGGTCTATAAAGAAGTTCATATCCGAGAATGTGTTCTGCACTACATCCGTCCCGTAAAGATCTTCCTAGTTTGACTTTCACGAAATTTAAGAAAAATGTTGAAAACATGCAGATCTTACCACATGTTCACTTGTGTGTGTGTGTGTGTGTGTGGGTGGGGGGAGTAGGGAGTGTTTTTTTTGTGTTGGACGAAAGAAGTACTTGAAAAGGGATGATTAGAAGTAGGGAAAGATTTACCTGAAGCCATTGTTCTCTGTGAGTGCATAAGAGGAGGAAGAGGCAGGCCACATCCCCAAACTAGTTGCTTGGGATTCCACAGGCTTTCTTGAACGGCTACGGCTTCGGCGGTTCATGTGGTGCTCGCAGTATTTGGAGTCTGGATACACGTCCTTCGAGCACCTCCACTTCTTCCCGTCGCTCCTCCGGCACCTTCCCGGCTCCGCATCATATTTCTTTCCATTATTGTTGGAACAATACACCACTGCTTGTTCCAACAAGACATTTGAGGAGATGTCATTATTATGTTCCATAGCCACAAGCATACATTTATTTATTCCAACAAGTTAAGATGGATGAATGACTCTATTGTCTCCTAGTATTCGAACAACAACAAAAACATAGGATTCATTTGATCCTATGAATCCTCCACTTTGTAATCTTGATAATCTGACATATGTTAATTCATTATTTATGTACATGTCCCAACAGTTTATAACTTTGATTTAGTCCATTGTGTACCCGGACTTAATTTGTAGCTCCATTTGCATACACACAATATCAAGAAAAGAATTGAGGCTCCATTAGTCATCTGTGTTGTGACTAAAGCATGGCCCTAAACTAAAGAGAACGATTTTGATTGAAAAAATTGAAAATTATTATTGTTTTAACTAACTACGGAGTAGGATTTACAGAGAAAGAGAAGAAGAAGAAGAACATACAGGTTGGGTGTTGGAAGTAGGTGGCGGAGAGGGCTTCGAAGCTCCGGCGAAGGGGGACAACCAGCTGCGGAGGCACGGGGACACCCGCCACCAGGTACTTGTATATCATAGCCTGGTGCTCCAGCTCCTGCCACTGCACCGCCGTGAACGGCGTCCGGTAGCCGTATCCATGGCCCAAAACCGCCGCCTCCCTCGCCACAGAAGTCGACTTCACGCTCATTTCTCGCCCTCCTCCTCCCTAGAAGTCTCCGCAAATATAAAACAGAAAACCCCCTGAACGGAATGAATCAGGTGAAATTAAATTAAAGGTGTGTTCATTGAGATTCGGGAGGTCTGGGCTGCGAACGAAAGATGAAAGGACAGATCTAGCCCTCTTTTGCTTGGGCAACCATGGGAGCCAAGCTAACGGGTACTATTCTTTTTCAACTCATTTAGTTAAACTATATTCAAGGCGTTTCGTTTCACCATGTTCAACTGATTCTAGCTGAATGGATGGATGAAAGGTCTCATATCTCGAGTCTCATGTAAGACAACTAAATGAACCTCGAGGTGCTGCCGAGGAACTGAGGGAAACCCTATTGAGAGATAGAGCTAGCCTATTCGTCATGGGGACGGGCCTTACCTATAGCACCTGTCTTTCTCCAGCGCATATTAGCTAAGTTGTGCTTACGCTTAATAGGCCGGCTTGGATTCCTCCGTTGGTCGTACCTCTTCGAATGAGAACTACCAAGAGCATAAAAGTTGTAGGCTTAGTTTAAAAAATACTCTGGATATTTATGATCTTTGCTTTATTAAAATTTTATTTGTTGTGTTTGTCAATCTGTATCTGCTCATAAATTATGACTTTTTCTTTCTAAAATAAGCTTCAGAAGTACTTTTGAGTAAAGTTAAAAATGCTGGTATTTCTCTGTGCTTATAAACTGGTCAAAATTGCTTATAAACACTTTTTCACTTTTAGTCAGCGGCGTACATATTTCTGTTTGCTTACAAGTTGATTTATAAACTGCTTTACTTATAAGCCAAAAAAAGCAGGTCTTACCTAAAACAATAAAATTACTGTAAGACATACGGAATTAGGGAGTATTAATTTTTGTTTATTTGCATATTTTTATTGATCATTTAATAAAATAAAATAATTTTATACATCTTTTATTTTATAAAACTTTTTTTCTAATATATAAATATGTAAGTTTTATTTTTTATTTCTAAATCAATCCTCCAACCTAAATACTACTGAGTAAAATAGATTAGTACAATAATACTCCGCTTAGTGTTTACAAGCTAAATGGACCTTCCCGTACTGCCCGTGAAGGAATAAAAAGCATATCATCACTCTCCCGGGGCAACCCCTCCCCAGCTGCCCGCCCTTTCCCCATCTCTTCCCTCTCCCTCCCCCTAGCTGAATCCCTCCTTTTCATCTTCCCCAATATCAAAGACCCAATCGATCTGAGTCTCAAACCATGAGTCTCTTTGGTATTGGAAGGTAAACCTTTTAAATGTTCAAAAAAATCAATTTTTAATTGTCTTTCTGATCTTTTTTCTCTCGCTTTTTTAACAGATCTGTGGGTATGGGTTGTTTTTGCTGATGCTAATTGCTGGTCTTGAATTCTTTGTGGATAGATATATATTCTTGATTCATGTCTTTGTTTGTTTGTTCGTTCCTGATATAATCTACTGAGTTGAATTTTTGAATTGTTAATTGAATCTAAAGAATTGGATATGGAGTCTTTGTTTGTAAAAAATACGGATCATGTGGATTAAAAACCATAAGCTTTAGGCCTTGTTTCTCACCCAGCTCTTTGGGTAGCTGATCAAAAAAAACTTGATATACAAGCTTTTTGCAAACCAAACTTGAAAAGAAGCTGCTCCGAAAAGCTCTTAAAGCTGGGCCAAAAGCTTGAAAATTAAGCTTTTGGAAATCCAGCCTTTTGGAACCTAAAGCTCTTTATCCAAAACTTCTAACAGCTGTAGTTTAGCCCAAAAAGATTGTTGCAAGCGCCCCCCTAAGCCAGAGACCTGTGTTCTTTGGGATATTGATCTTGTGGAATCAGTAATTATGCTTGAAGTTTCATCATGACTAGTGGCTTTATGCCATTTCTATACTTCAAACCATGGCCTATGCTCTGCTATTAATTAAAATTGGTTTGCATTAAAGAGTTAAACTTTTAATTTCTCTTATTCCTAATGCCTAATCTGATATTTCTGTTCAGGAATCAGAGGACATTCCGCCCTAAAAAAAGTGCGCCCTCGGGGAGTAAGGTTTGTTTCATCTGAAGAAAAGTTTTACTCCCTATGTCCATAAAATAATATCTTGCTTTCCTTTTTCAACTGTCCCAAAAGGAAGTTCCTATTCTATTTAAGGAAAGAAATAAGTGGTTCACATTAAACTCGGTGGAAAAGCAACCCAAAACTTCTTTTAGAGACATAGGGAGTAATTGCCTCATGATGATTTGATGGGGAAGAAAATGGACGTTAAGAGTTGGTGTGAAATTTTAATCTATCTTCCATGATCATCATACTTTTTTAAGGTTTCGCTTCAAGGAAAACAAAACCTCCATTTGCATGTAATTTGTAATTAAAGCCATAACCAGAGACAGTTCCAAAATCCAAATGCACTTGAAAGTCATTTTCTTTATAATTAAAAGTATACAAATACAAACCCGGTAGAATCACACAAAAGTAGGGTCTATTGAGGGCGAGTGTATGTGGACCTTACCCCTCATTGGAAGTAGAGAGGTTGTTTCCAAGAGACCTCTGGCTCAAGCACATATGTACAGACAAACAAACCACAATAGCATTAATGAAGTATGAGAAAAAAGAGCGGAAGCACTTGACTCAAACAACTATGCCCACTATTTCTCTAATTCAAAGTCTAGCCATCTCAATTTTGTTATTGTATTTTTCCTGATATTGCAGGGAGCACAATTAAGAAAGCACATTGATGCGACTTTAGGTAGTGGAAACTTGAGAGAAGCTGTAAGACTCCCCCCGGGAGAGGACATTAATGAGTGGCTCGCTGTCAACAGTAATCTCACCCTTCATCCCTTATTCTTGATACATAATAATTCAGACTCCTTTTCTATCCTTTAACACTGGTTGTCTATTTAATTGGCATATATATGACTTCATGTGTTCGTGCTTTGTTCTGACACTGAAGATTCAGGCCACGTTTGGAATCATAAATTGGCTTATTTTGACTTCTTTTGTTAAAATTAGTTTTAAGTAATGATTTTCTTCCATGAATGGTAACGGACTCAGCCAATTGTTTCAGCCAAATTATTACCCTTAAACTGTGTTTGGTTCAAGGAATTAGGAAGGAAAAGAAAAGAAAAGTGTTTTCTCTCATTTTCCTCACTAAAATGGGAGAAATTTTGTTTTCCCTCCATTACATTATGTTTGGTTTGTGGAATTCGAAAGAAAAAGAAAAAAAGAAGTTTTCTCTCTTTTTACTCATCAAAACGGAAGGAAAATCATTTTCCTACTTATTAGTGTTTTTCTTCTCCCATTTTCTTTTCCTTCCACTTATCTTTTCTTTTGCTCTCTAACCAAACACACAAAGTTTTCTCTCTCATTTCTTTTCATTTCCCTTTCAAATTCATTGAACCGAACATAGTGTTTGTATATTTTGTCTTCTCAGTTCTCATTTTCTTTTCCTTCCACTTCTCTTTTCTTTTCCTCTCTAACGAAACAAAAAAATGTTTCCATCTCTTTTTCTTTTCTTTTTCCTTTCAAATTCCTTGAACCAAACATAGTGTTAAGAAATGAACACTAATACTCTAATTATTTCAACACCTGTTTCTGTGTTGTATTGATACTCTCCAATTTTGTCAGCTGAATGGAGATCATTTTGATTTTATGATTTTCAGCTGTCGATTTCTTCAACCAGGTCAATCTGCTCTATGGCACCCTGACTGAGTTTTGCACACCTGAGAACTGCCCTACAATGACAGCAGGCCCTAAGTATGTTACATTGTTTACAATTAAAGTTTTAAAATGCCAAGGGTGTTTTTTAGGACACAGAAAATGCCAGGGAAAGAAATTGCAGAGGAAAAATTTGGATGAAAAAACGTGTCGGGAAATAAAACATTGGTTGGAACTTCATACATATATTTGATATTGTTTAGTTATTTATTTATAGATTCTATTATATAAATACTAAGAAATTTAGACATATGATTTTTTTTCTAAAAACACCAATAACGTTCCATTCTCTTTTGTACTTTCCGAGGTAAAATCAACACGGGAATAACATTTCCATTTCTTTAATTTTAGTATTTGTGCAAAAGGAATCATTAGTGATTTGTTTTGTGTTTAGTAGTTGTTACCTTTCAACAAGTCATCCTCAGCAAGCGCAAATAGTCATTAAAGGTTACATCTATTTTCTTTTCTAAGGGTTAAATGCAAGGGTTTCTAAAATAAATGTGATTGGCATTGCGAGATATTTAGGTAACAATTTGAGACCACATCATTTGACTCGACACGGATGTTGATTTTCAGGTACGAATATAGGTGGGCAGATGGGGTGCAGATCAAGAAACCTATAGAAGTTTCGGCACCAAAATATGTCGAGTATTTGATGGATTGGATTGAGGGCCAGTTGGATGATGAATCCATATTTCCTCAAAAGCTTGGTACTTTTTTTTCTTTTCCATCATATAGTGCCCCCCATGGACTGCCATAACCAACTCTTAACAAACTTCCTATCGCGGCTTCCATCTAAAAACATCGTTGTTTGTATTCTTATAAGCAATGCGAGATTCCAACCCAAAACCAGTTGGCAATAGGAGCAACTCATATTCTTATACATTATCCTCAACAGTTTATTTACTAAATGATGATCCATATGGTAAATTTAGGTGCACCATTTCCAGCAAACTTCAAGGATGTTGTGAAGACAATATTCAAACGATTGTTCCGCGTATATGCTCATATCTATCACACCCATTTTCAGAAGATTGTGAGCCTCAAGGAAGAGGCCCATCTCAACACTTGCTTCAAGCATTTCATACTATTCACCCATGTGAGTGTGTTCTCTCTCTCTCTCTCTCTCTCTCTCTCTCTCACAACATCTGAACTCCAAATTCCATCTTATGCCATGTTTGGTTCTTAAAACAAGCTGCATTGAAATCTGCAGGAGTTTGGGCTTATTGACAAGAAGGAGCTTGCTCCACTGCAAGAGCTTATAGAATCTATTATCCCACCTTTCTGAAGATGATGATGTTTGACCTTGTTATGATTTTGGATTATTACCTCACTTCACCTTTACCTCACCTTACTTTACCTAGCACTACTCCATTAAAAAGGTCACTGTAAAACCTCTTTGGTTTGCTTAATCTTCAAAATCACTTGTTAATATTTCTCTTTATATATTTATGAACCATCCAGAAAAGACTAATCATTTGGGGGTTGATAACTTATGAGTTTTGGTGACTCAAAATGTATGTATGTATGTATGTATTTGTTGGGAGTCTTTGCAATTTTACTTTCCTTTTGTGTAATAAAATAAATATCTTTTTGGTTTTGTTTTGTATTACCATGCTTTATTCAGTCGTCATTATTACATCACGATTTTGGTAAAATTAACATACATCAATGTCTGGTACAATATGGTCTGTATTTAATCAATTTTCTTTATACAGAAAACAGAGCATAATTCTCCTCCAAAAATAGTAAGCTATCTATTTTCTCACAAAAAAATGCAAATGATCAAAAGTTAATACTATCTCCCAAAAGTATTTAACCATATTAATGAAATAAATTCACGAAAAGAAAATCATACTGGCAATGTTTAGTACTATAAACCACAGTGGACATGATTTGAAACTCCTATCTGAGCAACAAAAAAAAGAGCTCCAAAATACTCCTATCTATCCATCATGATTTCTGGTGGCCGACCAAACCTGGAAACAGCAAGAACATAAGCACCCAAAACAGCCCCGAGCAGGCCAAAGACCAAACCGAAGAGCTGAACATTGGCCAACAGCTCACCCCGAACCTGGCTATCCACGGACCCACACGAGATTTCACTCTCTTTAAGGTTGCAGCCTTGGGGCATCATGGGACCGTACAGAGTGAAGGCTGTCTGGTAGAACCACAGGCCTTGGAGCGCGATTGCGATCCCACTGGACAGATCGACAGGGAAACTGGTGGGCATGAGGGCCCCACAAATGGTAGTCGCTATGCATAGGCCTATGAGGAGGACAAGGATAAGATGGTAATATCCCTCGAGACCCTTGTGCGTTGTCGAGTGAAAATAAAACAAGAAATACTCTGCGCAGAATGCCACTGAAGCAACCAAGCACAATGCTCCTTCGGGCAAGGGCAGGAATCTGCAGAAAAGGAAAGAAACTAACCATATATGATCAGCATCCATAGGGTGCCTTTGGATGCTATGCAAAACAAGTACAACTTACAAGACAAAAAAAACCAAAATGTAAGAAAACCAGAAGATAATAGTTAATAATGATCCAGAAGGAAAAAGGAATCTTGACCTGGTTTTTTCAGAGAGCAGTGCAATGACTCCAAAGACAACAAACATGAGAAGCATTCCGGCATGCTCAAAGTTATTCATATGAGTGGGATTCAAAACTCCATGAACAAAGAGCTTGAGGTGGGTCGAATAGAACAGCTCGATACAGAAATCAATGAAGCCTCCGATTGCTATGACGTAAAGCTCCAAGTACTTCAGCTTCCCGTTGAAACCCGTGACCGGATTCCACGCCTGTACCCGGAAAGATTTGGGGTCGGACACATATCTCACTATGGCACACCAAATATGCCACACCCCAACGACGAGAAACAGTGTTCCTGGCAAGACATGCCCAGGGAAAGATCCCATCTGCTCACTTTTGAATTGAAAACAAAGAACTGTTTTTCCCAAACCAAGGCCTTTGGTAATAAGTTGTGCCCACTGATTCTCTACAAAACCATGATTTTATTGCGTAATTTTACTCTTTCATTTCACTAGAACTGATTTTTTTAAGGCCCCGGCTCAGAACACGAAAGCACACACAAAGAAAACACAGTAAAGATAGTAGCATGAACAAAGTAAATGCACAATGCTAGCAACAAGACCCTAATTACACAAATGAGAATCAGTTGCTTGATTCTGATTAAATATACTCCATAGTTGATTTAAAAACTACGCATGTTTTTTCTGCTGCATTTTTACAATTATGGCAAAATACTACTCCTAGACTGGTACTTGATTTGGGAATATGGATTAACATAATAATACGTCAAATTCATAATTAAAAAAGGCTAAAACTTAAGAGGGAAAAAAACTTAAGAATAACAGACAAGGAAAAAATTCGTCAAAATAAAGAAAGATATATAGGGGAAAAAAGGAAGGTTCTTGAATCATGGAGCTGTGAAAATTGAAGAAAAAAAACAACCTAAAAAAAGCCATCTTTGAAAAAATCAAAATGGAATTCTTTATTGCTATGAGTTGCCCGGATGGACAAACCCATCACAGATCTTCCACAGATCACTCAAATGACAAACTGAATCTAGCTCGAAGGAAAGAGAAAAACACAGAAAGAAAAATCCCACAATAGAATGGAAAAAAGACAAAAGAATAGAAAAGAGAAGCGCACTTACATTGAGTGCGTAGCACCTGAAGGAGTGATTGGGAGCCTAAAATTGAAAGGGGAAAAAAGGCAATCTTTATCGCTTTTTGAGTTGCAGAAAGTGATGATGAATAGAATCAATAGATAATGATGAAAGGAAAAGAAGGCCCGTGTGGTGTGGCAGCCTTGCAGAGAGGAATACAATAGAGAGAACGGAGATGATGGTGGTGGTGGTGGTGGTGCCGCCGCCGCCACGTTAGAATTTGTACTCCATTTCGTTTATAATATTCTCATTGTTTTGGAACTGGAAATCGATGGAAAGAAATGAATGAATAATGAATTGCTTTTCTCCCCCCTCACAGAAAATTACTCATGGGTGACGCCAGTTTGGTTGAAATAACTCTCAGGTCCCTCTATTTTCAAAAAGGCAGCAGAGATCCTTACATTTTGTTGTAATAACTAGAAGGGGACATTTCATCCAATATTTCATCTATAAACGTTAATAAATGTATTTTTTCCTATTCTTTTCTAAATGTTTTAAGATAATAAATCTTAGGTCGCTCCTTTTTCATTTTGTTACTATTTTTTAAAGTGTTATTTTAAAAGAAATAACAAGGTAATGGCAAAATGGGAAAAACGGTATTCAAAAAATAGGAAAAAAATACATTTATTAACACTTACGAATGATGTATTGGATGAAATGTCCCCTCTCAGTCATTACAACAAAATGTAAGGACCTCTGCTGCCTTTTTGAAAATAGAGGGACCTGAGAGTTATTTCAACAAAACTCGCGTCACCTGCGAGTAATTTTCTGCCCCTCATTGCCAAAGTCGTGTGGGTTTCGCTTTTCGGGCAGAAGACGGGGCAGGTTAGGCTCTTGACTCGGGCAGGTTTGATTTTCCCTAACCCTCCTCTTAAGGTTAATCTAAATTACTCATGGGCTATAAAGCGGTTTTACTTTTTTTTATTCTGAAAAAAGTCCTATTTTTCACTTGTTCTTCATCACTTTTAACCACACTATAAATTAAGTCAACCTTTTAAGAAAAAGGTTAAAAAATAAAAGATTTATTAACAAAATTTGTTTAAAAAGAATAAAAGATTTTTAAAGTTAATAATAAGCTTTCAGATTGAAAACTCTGCACTGGTGAAATGATCTCCTAGAGTCCAAACTAGCACTTTAAAAACTTCACTAAAGCCACAACAAACATCAATGAAAATCAAGACCAATTTGGATTTACACTTTGGGATACATTCACAAAACATAAGAGTTGTAAAGCTGAATGTATTCTTCAACAATATCACTGTGCTAGAGATCTACTGTATATGCATATACATATATATATATACCCCACTAAACTACATCATTCATTTCAATAACCATAATGATGATGATGATGATGATGGTATCCATGATAATGTGACTCCACATCATCATAATGACACATGTACCCAGATTGAGAAGGCTGATTTTCAGAGAGGTAGTAGATATCCCTAGGTGGCGGGCCCGCCTCGTAGCGTTGCACTCCCTCGTCTTCTTCATGGATATGAGAGGGAGACGTGGGGTCAGTTTCCGGACTTGGAAGGATCTCAGCCTCCTGCTTCTTGTCGACTTTGACCTTGACCAAGTCAACGTCCTCGAACGAGCTGAAGATCGGGTGCAGATATGCATCTGCCAATAAAGCTTTCAAGTCGACGCTGGTTTCCGGGTGGTCTTGCATGTCTTTGTCCACAGCTTCCTGAAAAACAGGGTGACTGAGAATCAAGAACCGCGGTTGTATAGGCTTAACAATGGGGCGACTAAAGCTCCTTCAACATACCTCAAGTGGATACCTTTTGAATGCCGGTTCAAATCTGTTCTTGCAATATTTATGGAATGTTAAGGTCAAAATTGGCAACACAACAAGAAGAGGAGTTGAATTTGCAGCTTTTTTGGTGCTCAACAGACCCAACAGAAGCATTTGGGAAATTAGTAAGCTTGCTATTATGCGACCATGAACATGAGGCCAAAATGCAGCGGCACTCTCATACCTTTGGTTGTATACATTGATTACCTACACAATAACACTTTTTAAGAGTCTCAACCTGTTTGGCAAGAGTAACATTTAAAGTCCGTTTGGAAAAGTGGAAAATGATTTTCGGAAAATGACTTCAAGAAAATGAATCCATTCACTGATGTTTGGTTGAAAATTTGAAAATGAAAAAAAAAACTAGTTTTGTTGTTACAACATAATACAATGTGGTGAGTTTTGATCTAAGAAGTAGGAGAATGGTGAAACATGTCTTCCGTCCAAAAAAGTGGAAATCATATTTTGATATTCCTCCAAATAAGGCACATTTTCCAATGACTTTGGAAATCATTTTCTGTTGACTCTTATATTCCAGAACAGCCAAACACCGAAAAATGAGAAAATGACTTCGGGAGGTCATTTCCCCCCTTCCCAAATGGACCCTTAACAGAATTTACTATAAGGTGTAAACTTTATGGCAGAAATGAATTAATACTCTAAAAACCAATAAGTTAATGCACTTAAATAAGATAGCATTTGGTAGGAAATTTGGTTTATCCCATTTTATTCAAATATATTAATTAAAATACAGAAAAGTACAAAAAAAAGTACATGTGGTAAGGAACTACATGCTATTTTTTGTACTTTTCCTTATAAATACTACAGGCTACAGACTACATAGAAACAGAAATGCTGAAACAAGACTGCAAAAGCTCTACTTCGAACAATAAAGTGATAAACTGATAAAGCAAAACTGAGATATAAAAAAGAGAGATAATTGCCAACCTGATGACGATAAACGAGATATGCAAAGGCAAAGAAGACGAGTATGAAAGGGAGAAGGATGGGTGTAACCACAGCGTAGACAATGCCCAGAAGAAAGTAGAGTTGAAGAGTCGGAAGAGTTTCCGGAAAGTCAATGCTCCCGGGTTCTGCTGCCTTTGCCCTATCCCTTTCAGTTTTCACAAAGAACATGCTCTTGAGATGAAAAATCACCAATGGCTTTAAGCGAAGGATTTCACAAGCAATGCCGGCCCACCCATCAACCATTATATATGTAATAAAGAAAGTGGCTTTCATAGGTATTGACACTCCAATGTTTCTCGGTATTCTGCAAACAGCTCACATATAATTTTACATTAAAAGAGAAACTTGGAAGAGGGAACTCACTTAGGACGTGTTTGGTACCAAAAAATATATTTTCCTAGAACTTTTGTGAGGAAAACATTTCCATACATTTTCTTGGAAATACATTTTCCTGTGTTTGGGAAGAATGTAGAGGCCCCTTTAAGGATGTGGAGAGGAGTAGAGGTAGACCTAGAAAGAGTATTAGAAAATGGTTACTGTGTTCCTACTTCTATGCCCAAGTAGGGAAAAGGTGTACGTACATACACCTTCCTCAGACCCTACTTTGTGTGGGATTTTATTGGATTTGATGTTGTTTCCTAGAAAATAGAAATACAATCCTGAATTTGGCATAAAAACTTTTTCTTTATGAGAAATTTTCCTTGACTATAACTTCTGGGATTTTCCTGAAAACGTTTCATGTTTTATGTTCTTGTGGGTCAAACACTATATTATGCGTAGAACAGCTTAGTTCCCTGAAAAGATCATTTCCTAATAAATTAAAAAGCCCCTAAGGAAATAAATAGTTATCCTACCTCTGTCCCAAAAAGAGTGGTGTTCTTAATACTGTTTTTAGTATTAGAATCAAGACTCTTTTGTGAGACTGATGTATTATAACAAACTGCGAAAAAGCAAACAGTTCAGAATATCTTAAAAAACCATTACCTTGAGAAAACACTAGTGGATCTCGCTTTTGTATTTCTTTATTTATTATTTTGCATCAACAGTATTAGTGTAAGCATTGTGAGAGAAAAATATGTGAAAAAGAAATGCTCTGTTTAAGAATTTAGTTGAAGGGGAGAAGTGCAGTACTGTGCAGCTGATTGGTGAAGGAAAGCATGGAGTTGCTGGAATGCCGTTCCAGCGATAATACTTCCCAAAAACACATTGACCAGCATGAAATAATAATATTTAGCTGCAGCTCTCCTTTCAAGCACTGATAATGCCACATGCCCCTCAATTTTTGACATAATCATAAGGATGGTTGGAAGAACAAACATGAAAATTTTCAGAGCTAAACCAGGAAGGAAACCTTGTAAGAATGACTTTATCACCTTCCTGCAAGATTGATTGATTGCATAAATTTCAAGGAAGAATAAGTAAAGCATCCCTTCTTGTTAACATTACGTTAGAAGAACTCTCAATAATTCATTAGCCCAAGAAAATGAATAAATGATGCATCTAGTATCGAAAAATTGCAGGATGGGAGGATCATCCCGCACTCGTTAGGGGTTTCTAGCACTCATGTTTAGGCGATATGAGCAAAATATAGAAAAATGTAATGTCTGAGTACACACACCCTCTCCAGGTCCTACTTTTTGTGGGATTTTACCGGGTTTGTTGTCTTTGAGCTAATTCCATCAAAATGAGAAAAACAATGTGCACTTTACCATTCAATTAGTGGCTTGAGGAAAGGAGCAACTTTTTCTAGGCCTTCCAAATTTGCAAGTGATTGCACGAAGGCAATAGGTATCATATAGAAGAAGACCAAAGCAAACAATGATACTCCTATCACCAATCTTCGGATGCTTAGTGAAACAAACGATATTGATAGATTTTTCCAATACACATCCCGGGGTTCAGGTGCCGGATCTGTCAACCATAGGGTGGGGTTCTTGCTTTGTTGAGTCTGTGCACACACGGCTGCCCCCCATCTTGAACTGAATGATACAAAAGCAGCTGGGATGATAGATTGAGGATCCTTAAGAATCTTCCCCCTCTCCATTGTCAACTGAAATGGAAATATATATATGGATAAAGCTATATGGGTCAGTTTGGATGTAGGTTTTGGAGTGGTGACTTTCGGAGTGCTGGTCTAAAAGTTGAGGGGATAACATAATATGTGATCGTATAACATTTCAAACACCATTTTTTTCATTTTCAGATTTATTTATTTATCACGATATAGACTAAGCCCTCCAAAACCCTCCACCCTAACTGACTTGGTCTCTTTGTTTTCTTTAAAACTTACCGCTTTATCAATCTCTTCAACCTGGTGCTTATAATACTCAATGGAATCAACCTTTTTGCCCCAAAGTCCAAGGAAGCCAATCTGAGGATCATATAAACAATGTTGTATGAGAAAAAACTAGTGCAGGATTAACTTCCTTTTTTACAACACAACAGCATATCCTTTGTAAAACCGGCGTTTCCTGAAAGAGCATACCTTAGTGGTTGGCCTCTTGTCTGGATTCATATCAAGCTTAAGTTGGTTATAATCCAGCCAATTTATAAGCCTATTTCTTTTCCTTACAAGTTTGGCAAACTTATTTGCATTATAGACAGCCTGGGCAAAAGATATAACCAATAATAAGTTAGTATCTATAGTTCAGGACAACATTACAAACAAATTATAAGCGCGCGTGTGTGAAGAGCCAATCTAAGTTCATGCACAAGCAAATTTTTAAAACAGGAAAAAACAGAACAAAAATGAGAGAGAGAGAGAGAGAGTAACCTGGTGGCAAAGATAGTGATTTGGGTGGTTCCTCTTAAAATAGCTTTCTACACTGTCTGAAATAGAACGCCCAGATTCATGTGGTACATTTCTTACAATAACCTGAAAGGCATTAAGACAGAGCTTACATGCCGAATAGTTCATCAAATACATTAGAGAAAAAGTCTAAAGCTGTTTTGCGTGCACTTTATGCTAGTATCCTTTATTTCTTATGAATATCTATGACTTCAATAGAAATTTTTAATTCTTTATAAACCCTATAAAAATAAGAAACAGTGAAACAATCTTCTCTTATTTCCTATCACTTTTTCACGCTTTCAGTTTCTGTTTCCAAAAAATGAAGCTTCATAAATCATTATGTAGTCGTATACTCATATCATTATAGTCATGCAAGTAAATTGGCAAAGGTTTCACATATCTAACTCACGGTGAACTGTCCTGCTTTTGTGGCTTGCGAAGCCAAGAATTGTAACCTCATTGATGCCACTTGATCATATTCCTTGTACAGAACATAGCATGTCCAAAATGTGAACAAGAATTCCATTGCTATGTGCACGAAAAACCTGATAATCGACCACCAATCCACCACGGGCTTTCATGTAAGCACATCAATCCAGTTCAAAGAGCTAGCAATTCATTGTAACAAATAAAACACTTTCAATAGGTCTTACTTCGAAGATTTGGGACTAATATTGGAAATGGAGAGTTTATCGACATCGCTGACGACCAGGTCTTTGCTGAGGAAGAACAAGGTTCCACCCGAAACATTGACCGGGATAAGAACCAGGAGGACCACTACAGCTGTGGGTCCAAATATCTTTAAGCTATCAAAGACAGAAGAACAGTAATCAGTCCAACCCGAAAGGTCATATCTTTGGAACTTGCAAATTATTTTAACATCTCAGGAAGAAACATACAGTGACCATCAAGCATCTATAAGCAAAATTCGAGTGCTAAAATAGCAAAAGAAAGAACGATATCTGCAAACCAAAGAGAATCATTATCAAAAGAAAAGATAAACACCAGAATTCTTTGAAAATCCAGTAAACTAAAAACCCAAACTCCACAATTTTGCAAAAATCAAACAGCCCAACATCATCACTTCAGAACAAAATTTGGGGGAAAAAAACAATAATAAAAGATTGCAAAAAAAAGTTCCAAGCTTTATGATACCCAAGAGTATAGATCCTGAGGAAGACGGCGGAGTCAAGGCCAGCATGAGTGATGATCTGAGGCTCGGCCATCTTCATGGACTGGGGCATCCAGTTGAGGAAGGTGAGGTAAGTCTTGAAATTGAGGTTCACCCAGCTGCGGACACAGCTGTTCTTGGGGCTGCTCCTTCTCTTCCCATCAGCATACCACTTTGGGAAGTAAACTCTGTCGTTGATGGGCTGAATCCTCAGCACAGCAAAAGCCAACAAGAACCCCAATGAACTCAGTGTGTTGATCAATGCCGACATCCCAATATCCCCTACGCTCGCCATCTCTCTCTCTCTCTAGAGGAGTACCCAAATGGTGACGAGCTTTCAAAGAAAAAGTTTGGTGTAGTGGAAAATCAAATAGAACCATCGAGAAGAGAAAGTGTTGCTTTTCTTGAACGAAAGAAAACGTTGGACCACGAGTGCTAGTTAGACAGATGGTGAAAATGAAAGAAAGGGGAAGACTTGAAAAATCGGATAAAATTGAGAAATGTTAACACCCTGATGAAAATTTTAGTTTATTTGTATTTTTTTGGTTGATTCTTGATAAAATTAAATATTCTTATCATTTCTTATTTTATACGGAGTAAAATTTTAGACATAATTTTTAAATATGTACTGTTTTTAACTACTAGAGTATTTTTTTATTACGGTACTATAATAATTTTTACTATATAAACTTTTAAAAATTAGGATTCTCCCTCGTTTTCACTTCCATATAAGCGATAAACCATTTTGGAATATAGTACATTTACACTCTATACTTTTTAAATTTCATTTTTTATAAGTTATACTCAATTTGTTTCAAATTATTAATCTTTTTATGTCACATTATTTTTATGACTCACTTGATACTTTTTTTTTTTGAAAAAGTGGCACAAGATCACTGTGGTATCTCAAAAATGCTTATATCTCCTGTAGTCTAAGAAAATACAATGTACACCACTAGAGTGGAAAGACTTTTGCTCAAACGCCTCTTTCATTATATTTTTTGTCAAATTTAACTGAGGTTGAGACTCAAACAATCAAAATGCAGAAAAAACTTATTTTTACACCCATTGAAGTCAGAGAAATAATCATGTAACCCATAATTTTACATTCCTAGACCCAAAACTAAAGTTGCCTTTTCAAATTATTTTTTACTTATTAATCCATATTATTTTATTGGAATCTAATCCAATCAATCACAAAACGCAAATAAAATTTTAGTTTGGAATTTGAAGAATATTTTAGTTTAGATGAACATTGGCATAGCTATATCAAGTCATGACGGGTAATGACGTAAGAATGTCTTATTATTAATAGGTATCCTTCAAGCCATTGTAGTGATTTATTTCCAAAGCTTACTGTATTATGGATGGTATGTAAAAATGTGAAAATACCTAGAGTAAATAACTAATGAAGTCAATGGAATTGAGCATCACACACAACACACAATGAAAACTTCCACTTTTAGACACAAGGGAATTTTTTTTATATTAAAAGACTTTTAGTGTAATTGTACCCATAAACGTAAGATGTATTTTTTTCGTCAAAATTCTTGAAGTTTATGAATTCTGACAAGCATTTGGCAAAAGATTTTTATTTATACAACACATTAATCACCTCAAATTGGAATCCGATATAATTTTTATTTTAAGAATTGAGGCAACCTGTTTTATCTTAAAATGATATTATTGCACAATATGTCATTATATGTTGACATACTAGTTAAATTTTTGAACAAAATATCGATCAATGTTGGGGTTAAATTAGAGGGTTGAGGGGATGTTAGGATGAATATGATACAAATTCTATGAAAAAACGATGACATAACTATTTTATTTTATTAAATTAGTAAATAAAGTGAGTACAAATTGTACACATGAATAGTAAAAAGATACATTACTACGAGACTAAATGAATACTCCGTATTTGCTAAAGGTAGCATACTTTTTCTTACACTATATTTAGTTAAAAAAATTTGAAAGAAAAGAAAAGAAAATTATTTTTCATCTTTTTTTTTAACGAAAATGAGAGGAATTAGTTTATCTTTATCTAAATATATTTTTTCTCTCATTTTCTTTTCATTTCACTTTTTTTATTATCTAACCAAATAAAAAAACTATTTTCTTCTTCATTTTCTTTCTTTTTCGGTCTCAAATTCCTCAAACATAATGTTTAATGTCAATTTATGCCCCAAAATCACTCAACATCAAATTGGCGTTGCCTATTTGTGGCCTCATAAAAAGCGTGGCCGACAACCGCCGTCAATCTCAATAGCCCAAGACTCCAAACTCGCCGCCGGCGCAAATCTTACCTGTAAAACATTTTCGGTCAATTTCTCTCGCCAGTGCTGAAGGCGAAGATCCTATAATTTCCGATCGCCCTCGAGCCCGTCTCCTCAACGGAAGACGAAGATGGCATCACTCTATCACGTTGGCGCCATTTCCAAGTCTCCGTCGCTTCATACCTGCAGAAAAGCTGCATTTCACTCTCCGCCCAGCCAACTCTCTTCACTCCGCTCTCTCCCTCGGTTAGCGCTCTTTTTCCCTAAATTTTGCTCGTCGCGCCCAGTAATTCTTATTCTTCGACTCAAGGTTATAGAATTTGAGCTGCTAGGTTGTGTATGCTTGTCTTTTTATCGCAGCATTTTGAATTTGGATCCATTTGTTTTCTTGATTATGGATTAGGGGAGAGGACTGAGGAGGGCGATTTTGTTGTTAGGATTGGAGTTTGCTGACCTTGAATTTCTCTGAGAATTATAGGAGATTCAGCTGAAAAAAGGAGTTCAATTTATTGAGTGGAAATAGATGGGAGAAAAAGAAAAGAACACAACACAGTATCATAACAGTGATCCTACATAGTACATAAGCTGCGGATTTTCATTTTAACCATTCATTTCAACTTGTTTCTGGAAGTTCTAAGTCTTTATGTGATGTGTTGACCACCGCAGGTTCTTTTACACGCTTTTCTGAACTCAGAATCATTTGTACTTACGACATTTTATTTGGTACTATCCAGCTTTTACAAGGTTGGTGTGACCAAATGCAGTTACGCAGGAGGTAACATCAAAGAGAGCTTGAACACAGGGACAATTGATGTCGTGGCTGATGTGAAAAGTGAACGAGTATTAGTTTGACTTACCCCATTTTTTTCCTAACATTTAGATGATGTTTGTTTGTAAATTTACTTCATATTTGTTTGTTATTAGATTGTAGTATTGGGAGGCAGTGGTTTTGTTGGCTCTGCAATTTGCAAAGCTGCAGTGTCCAAGGGTGTTGAGGTTACAAGTCTGAGCAGGTCTTTGAGATATTTCTCTGAAAGTTTATGTATTTTTGTTCTTTTTGAATAAAAGTAATCCGAAGTACAACCTTAAATCCTTTACAGATCAGGGCGTCCTTCTTACCCTGATTCATGGCTAGATCAGGTCACTTGGATTTCAGGCAGGTTCATGTCCTCCTTGTATCTCCAATAAGCTACTGTTGAATGAAACTGCAAGTTTATACACTCATGAATGATTGAATGAAACTGCAAGTTTATACATGGAATGATATATTATACACTTGACTTATTTTATATGCACTTGTTTCTGTATAAATTTCGCTATCACGGAGAACTATGAAAAACTTTTAGTTACGCTCCGTCCATCCCGAAAAAAGAGAGTCATGTTTGATCAAGTGAAGCTAGTTATTCATTTAATTTGTCAAAAAAGTCAGGCATGTAATGATAAATGTAATAAAACAAATACTCCATATTTAAGTTAAACAATGTTAGAGGGATTGATAAGTTATAGCAGTTGTACCTACCAAAATTGTAAAGGTGTTTAGGTCAAACATTTTTTTGGAATGTGTTTGTGGGTTGTTCTCTACTTTTGAGTAGGGGTAAGGTCTGCGTACACACACCCTCCGTAGACCCTACTCTTGTGGGATTCAACTGGGTTGTTGTGGGGCGTGGCCGGTGGGTGGGGGGGTAGGCAGTAGCATTGTTAGAAAGTGTCTCTAACTCTAATAAATTTGAAGACATGATACTTATCTTCTACAGGGGATGTTTTCTATGCAAACTGGGATGAGGTGCTTGTTGGGGCAACTGCAGTTGTTTCAACACTTGGAGGTTTTGGAAGTGACGGACAGATGCTAAGGATTAATGGTGAGGCAAATGTTGTGGCTGTGAATGCTGCTAAAGATTATGGTAAGGAGCTGCTGAATATTCAAACCCCATTGCAATGGATTATTTCTTTTATTGGAGTTTTATTGATTAGAGAGCCAAAAGATAGATTATCTAAGTAGTTAATATTAAAATATCCAATACCCTTTGTTGAACTTAATAGTGTTAATAAATATTGGGGGTGAACAGGCACACTCCCCAATGATGCTCTCTAGGCTGTATTTGTCATTTTAAATAAGAGAATTTGATTATTTGCTAGTGATTAGCTGCTGCTTTTAAAATATTTTTGCAGGGGTTCCAAAGTTCATTCTGATCTCAGTTCATGATTACAATCTCCCATCATTTTTATTAACGTCGGGTTACTTCACTGGAAAGAGGAAAGCAGAATCAGAGGTCCTCTCCAAATATCCAAGCTCAGGTACCCTTTTGTCATTTCCTTTTCTGTGGATATTTACTTATAGGCAAAAGGGATGCATTTGATAGCAATGAAACAAATGAAATCATATCCTTTTTATGTCATTGCGGCCGATCACTTCCACCAACTAACAACAATTATGAAGGATCAACTAGTTTTTTTTGGGAAATTAGTATGCAAAAATAGTAGTGCAATCAGTCTATTTTGTGCCAGGTGTACTGAGATGAAATTCCAAAATTGTTGGCATCATAGGTTTTTCCACTTGCATTGAACATGGGACTGTGACATGTTGAGATAGTTACTATGGTCATGTAGTAAATTGCAAGATTGATATTGTAAAGTAAATGACACTTTATGGTGTGTTTGACAATCCTTTTTCAGACACTAAAGAGTAAATTGCAAAATGTGACAAAAAAATAAGACACAAAAAACCCTTTTTCAGGTTATGGTGTGTTTAGCAATCATAAATAAGTTTCTGATGTGCACAGGTGTTGTCCTAAGACCAGGCTTCATTTATGGGAAGAAGAAGGTGGATGGGTTTGAGCTTCCACTGGACTTGGTAGGGGAGCCACTTGAGAGGTTTCTAAGTGCGGCAGCGAACTATACCAAACCCCTGAAGTCCCTTCCTGCGTCCGATCTGCTGCTCGCCCCTCCGGTTAGTGTTGACGATGTCGCGTATGCGGTGTTGAACGCTGTCACTGATGACGACTGCTTTGGGGTTTTCACCATCGAGCAAATCAAGGAAGCTGCGGCGGGAGCTAAGGTGTGAAACGGGGACCCACACATAACGTACTGTTCTGCTGTGTATAATTTGTCCACATTATCTATGTGTGTTTGCCCATGCCGAGTTTGTAGTTTCATCTTGTTGATGTTGTTGTAGCCTCTGGCGTTCTTATGTGCAATTTCATCTATTAAGCTTATTCCAGTCATTTTGTATGGTCAATACAGTTGTAAAAGAATCGTAGCTAAGAAGATAACTTAAGGCTTGTTTGGGAATAGCGTTAGCGTTTTGAAAATGCTATCTACGGGTAGCATTTAGCGTTAGCATTTTCAAAGCAATCTGCACCGTTAAAAACTTAATCCAAAATGTTGACGCTAATCTCTAATGTTATTCCTAAACAGGACCTTAGCCTTCTATTACCAAGTTTGCGTATGCACACATTTTCAAACCCTACATGCCGGCCTTTATTGAACTTGTTGTTAAGATAACTTAGTCTCCCATTTATTTTGGAGTTTATATAAAAGATGTTAATAATACATTTTCAGATAATTGTTTAGTTCTTCAACTTCTTCATACAAGAAGAAGTTTAACATCTCCAACAAATTCAATAAAACTTTACCTCACAGAATGTGCCATTGCAGTTGACAGTTAGAAATACTTGCCTCGCCAAATTTGTTCCGCACAAACGCCGAGACCAATTGATGTTCGTAGTATTTTAGTGATTTGTATTATGTTTGCAGGCACAATTTGGATGACGTAGTTTATATATCAATGCATTGAAATCTCATGTGTGAAATTATACAACATGGCAAATACCAATAATTCGCTTTTGGTCTCATGATTTTTGTTTTCTTTTTACCTTCTTTGTTTCTCACTATTTTTGTCTCATACCCTGTACCATATTTGATCATATATTCGTATGGCTCATATTTATTCTTACGCTATTTTACTTTTAAACACTAATATCAATCACACAATCACACTTCTTTTAATTCTCTTATTCTTCCCACATGTCCCGAAAAAGTGGCACAGGGGTATCTTTTTTTTTCATTTCCATTTCGTGGATTACATAACAGTTGCAGAGAAGTTGTTCGAGATTTGTGTCCCTTGACACAAATGTAATGTTTTCCTTTCCAAATGTTTTCAAAAGCTTAATTCCAAATAAATATGAACAAAGAGATGTAAAGACGGAGTACGATAATAATGTGTAACAAAACTAATCATCACCTGAGAATTGGCTAGCAATAATGCATAAAGTACTTTGGTCAAAGAATTGGCTATCAAGCATACTGCAATAATGAACCACTAATCATCATCCTCTCAAGAATGGGGTCACAAGTGTCATACAATTATTATACTCCATTAAAGGCTCTGCTGGCTAATAAACCCAAAACCGAGTTTCAGCAAGTGTAAAGGACACCAAAGGGTTCTCCTATGAAATATTGGGGGAGAACACCTTCACCCCCTGAGTGCCACCACCATGCAATTTGCCCCACTTAGAGGCCTGCACAAAGAATCCTTCTCTAACCTATGCTTTTCCGGTTAAATGTTGTTGTTTTTTTAATCAAATGCTACCTAAGTTTGAAATTCTAGGCATGGCATGTTGGCGGAAAAAACAGATTCTAACAATAGATTCAGCAGAGTCGATTATTAGCAGCTCAGCCCGTTCTAGAACTTTCAAGTCCTAAAATTGACGGACCACGGATTTTAAGTCTCTTTGGCCCCGTGTTTATAGGGATTGACTCCTTAACAGTGTTACCTGACCCAATACCATCTCTTCTGTGCTTCGTTATGGATTCCTTATTCCCCAATTTGTCTTTACTTTTGCATGTTATGTCTCTTGGAGCCGAAGGAGCAAACTCCTTTGATTGATTGGGAGTCGCACTGGATGTGAAACTTCTGCCAGAACAATGTGTTGCATAAGATTTCTGCTTCTTTAGCTGTTTGGATCCCTGAAAGACGAAACTTTCAGATTCTCACGAATGATATAGTTGAAAGTTGTTCTGCTCTTCTAGAGAACAATAGCGAAATTGTACACTAAAAATATGCACCACCTACTCATATATTCGTGCCTCCACTTTATGAAACTTTCTGTTAGTCCTTTTTTAATTTTCCATTTACGGAATATATGGATCATTTTTTATGCAAAATTAATAACAAATGTTAATTACAACAAAATCCAACATACTTCCAACTTTGTTGGGATCTCGGAAGTTGGGGTATGGGAAGTTAAGATGTACAGTCTTACTACTGTACAAAACAGAGAGCGGTTTAACAACTACATGGGACAAAAGAAAGTGTGGAAGTACAAATTCATTGGCAATAACATGTTATTACTGTTTACCAAACTACATAATGTTATGTTAGAAAACCATGTGAAAGCATGGAATGACAAATGCCCAAACGCATATGTGGGAAGGGGAAGAAATATATTGTGCTTTGGGAGGTTTATGCTCATGTACTGATTATGGAAACATGTTGACATAAAGAATAACTAGAATCAGCTGATGAGTACCTGGTTTACGTTACGGCAAGCAATGGAATCATGGGTGTGGCGTTGCTCCAATCTAGAACGTCTCTTTACCCTGAATGTTTCTGTATCAGAATTACTGTCATCTCGATCAACTAAATTTCTATTCCCCGAATTCTGTGCATTCATGTCAGCACATAATAAACCTTCAGAAACCGAAACAGGAATTATAGCTTCAGAAATTGAAGTTTCCATTTCCATGCACGGCTGATGGTTGTTAACTATCCTGTCTAACTGACTATCAACTTCCCCAGGAAATTCAAAATGCAAGTCACAGTATGGAACATAATCCATGCCCTCGTTGACTTCTGGAAACAAATTCAGGAGGATAGCAAAATCTTCACTCTTTTTTAACAGTTCTTGAACCTCATACAATACCACTTCCTCGTGCTCAAATTTCTTAGATGCATCTTCCATGTTCAAAATATCTTCTCTTAAACAAAGGGTTCTTCTTCTTCCACATGGTAGCTGAAGTGACCTAGGATCTTAGTACAGAAAGATGCCAAAACTAAGTGTTAGATCTGAAAACATAACCTTCATCCTAGATGATGTTTAATAAATGGATCTGCTAATTTTATAGAAAGTAGTTAAAACCTATTTTTCTTATATAAAAAATTATACCAAAATAAATGTAGAAAAGCCCTTTTAAAAAGAAATTCAGCCATATCAGCCAAAAACAAGTAACTCCTGGCCATCCTGACCTGAGTTATTGAAATTAGCTAGTGTTTAGTAAGACCTCTGGCTGAGGCAAAAAAAAAGAAGGGTTTATCAAACAACTCTAAAAGAGGGAAGAGAGAGAGAGAGAGAGAGAGCATATACCATGGCGAAGGCACACTGCATGCGAGTAACACATACAATTAATGTAAGCCACATAACAATCACGTTTGCAGATGCTGCAAAGAATGGTACTGTGTGAAACTAGAGATATGTCTGTGCATGCTTTCAATCTGATCAGATGCCACCGAGCAAAGTGATGAAACCGCATCAAGTTGACAAAAGATGCTATTATTGAATGATAAGACTTCATGCCATCCATTAGGAAATCATGATCTTCAAGTTCCAAACTCCTTGAAAGAAGCATTGCTTCTTTGCATAGAAGCTCTTCAAAGGGAAGGAGGGGTAGCCTATTAAGAAGTGCATAACGATGGGAAGCAATTGAACCAACAGGGAACCAATTGCCAATCGCAAAGTTCACAGCCTCACCGCAGTTAAAACCTACAATTTTATAGGAAAAACACTGCTCAAAAAGCGCACATCTATATAGAAAATGTTGAAATCTCTATAAATTTTTGACTTGTAATCACAATTAAATTGTCTTATTTATGTTTTTGGTCCTGGCGAAGTTATTTTTTGCTAATCATCTTATATTTTATTTTACTTTTAGGCCATCTTTGTGACCCATGCTAAAGAATGAAGTGGCTTTAAGAACTCCAGTCTAGCCTTTCCGCTTCAAGTTTGAGTTGGTGCCTATTAAAAAAGTTAAAGCTATGCAAAACTCACTATTTCCACTTTGAATTTACATCTCTCGCACTCTTCAATATTAAAGTAACTTAAAAATTTCAAAGACAGAAAATTGGAAAAGTTAATTGGACCAAAAGCAAAAACTGCAATTTGCAGGGAGCCCGTAAAAAACATATTTAAGACATTTAAATTTACCATGACTGAACCCTGCATGATATGCTTGAGGAAATGTCACGACAAATTCCCCGGGATTTTGCTCAGCTTTATACACAGGAACAACATGTTCTAGCAAGATATAAGGTGGAAACAGTGTTGTCTTTCCTAGAAGGATGTCAAATGCGCCATCCTCGCCATCAGCTGACAAAATGTCCTTGTTGTATACATGGTTCCTGACAACCTTCTCAAAATCAAACGCTGCATGACCAGGAATGCCATACCAAGTTTTTGTAGCCCCACAGTGATGATAATTTATACTATAAAGGGGCAAAAAAAATTCCAGTCACAACATGAGTATTACAAATATGTTCATGTCAGCAAGAGCACTCACCTGTACAGGAAATGATCTTCAACGTGCCATGCAAACATGCTAAATAGCATTCCAATGTAAAGCATTGGTTCAGTAACACCCTGGAGAATGGGTTGATTCTTTTATACATAGATATAAAAATATTCAAACTGAGAAAACAATGAACAAAAAATGTGCATTCCTCACCGGGATTGTTTTTTCAAGAAGTCTCAATATGGATTTGGGAAGCCAAGAGAGCCTCTGTAAAATAAATCAGAATCTTACAAAAAAAAAATTGAAACATCAAAATATAAAAAAAGGGTGTGCCTTTAATAGGATTAGAAAAAAGGTGAGTGTTGACAGACACACCAACCTAAGGTCCCTAACCATGCCATAACCCACTAATTTTTATTACATTAAACAAAGAACATAATAAGCTGTGTACTGATAAGTAGGAAACTATGAAAATGCAAAAAGATGATGATGATGCTGATAACCTAAATAGAGACCTAGTATGAGAGAAACATTATATCACACATATCTTACCAGGAAGGCATAGCAACAGATAATTACTCTATAAGAATAACAAAAAGAGAGAGTAACACCAATTTCATCATAACACATTGTTGAAACGGAAAAAATAAGCACGGAGTAATGTAGCGAGCATACATGTGTAACTTCAGAGTAGAAAAGAAACCACCAATATAGCCATAAACATACTTATGATTACTAGCTTTAAATCAACTGCCAAACAATTACCCACGAATTACATATAAATGTGTAAAATCATCACCTTCAGGTTCCATTTACTTTTCCCAAGCTGATCATTCGGAGAAGACGAAAAGGCACTACCATCAACATCACATGCATACTCAACACTCTCAGTGTTTCCATGTACTATTTCATTCCAAAATTCTCTTTCCAAATATGATGAAGGAAGGCATCCAGCGCTACAAAACTTTCGAGCATAAATCTTGTTCGCCATCTTCTCAAAATCACGAAATGTGTAGTTCCTGAAAAGCTACTCTAATTTAAAGCTCTAGCAATAACTCAATCTAAGCATCGGTAATATGATAAATAGGCTAACCTCCCACTCATAAAAAATGTGACCTTGTCATCTGCATTCCAGTCAGCTAGACGGAGTGGTTGCACTCTGGTTGTAAACTTGAATCCAACTCTCTCTTTCGTCAAAACCACACCAGCAGGGATGGAAGCAGTGATGGGGGACACAATTTTGCATATACCTGTGATAAAGTTAGATATAAATCATGTTTAAGTAGACAAGTGAGGGGGAGTGTTTGCAAAGCAGCATTATCAACACTTTAATGCATCAATCCCACAAATTTTGTTACTTCTACTTTGCCAAATTGGTCTGTTTGACTAGGTATTAAAATTTTGTTACGGCTATACTGTTTTTCCTTATGTGTGTATGTGCATGTGAAAAAACATCACAGTATACTCCGTACAAAAGGACACAAATCATAAGAGCTAGAATCCTCTTAGGCTTAAAAGTTATCCAGAAATCCAAAATAGAATAAAACAGGATTGCTATTTACTACATTGATATATTCAGATTTCAGATCCATCAACTATTAAATTTAATGGCAGCAATGCCATGTGTGCACACTAATCAAATAACCATATTCTACAACAAAAATATAGAGAATTCTATTGGAGCCCTTACCATATTTAGAAGCTTCTGGAGCAATCTTTTGAAGATAAACTAAGGGATCCTCAAACTCCTCCTTACTTGGATAATATATTGGACACTCTGGAATTGTATCAATCCAATCCAGGTTTGATGTTTCAAACTTTGAAACCTTGTATTTTGAGAAAGAGTTTTTTTTATTAAATGCACCTGCAGACTGTGGGTATGTGCCTAAGCCGCCAGGTATCCTCAACCCACAAGTTCCATGGCCTCTAAGAGCGTCTCCTCCACATCTGCTCATTGGGTTATAAGAACGTGCAAAATCATCCACTGTTCCAGATTTCACTTGATGAATCCCTTTATCCTTCAAAAATACCAAATTAACTTCTCTTCACATGCAAGTTTTTCTTCCACCTTTCCATAGAGGAAATGATCCAAATTAGTTGAACATGTTGCCCATGAAAAAGAGATCTATTAACAAATATTGGTGTAGTTACATAGCACTTACTCCATAGAAGTTCTTTTATATATAGAAACTCCATAGAATGATAGAAGAACTTGATAAAAATCATAAAACATGGCAAGTGTTCAAAATACAAATCCATAACATGCAGTTGGCTTCAGAATTTCAGAGTTTTTACCAAGCTTCGATACGCTAATAGATTCTCACATTACTTCATAAATACAAGTCCACCACATACATAAAACTTCAAGACAGCAAAAAAAACTACCTGCTTAAACTGTTGAAGAGGATGCATAAGATCAGTAATTTGTCTAAATAAATCACCCATAGAGAAAATTGGATATGATGGTTTCCTAAAGGCTGAGGTCAAGAGCAACTAATGAAGACATGTGATTAACTAATCCACAACATAGAACTGCATTAACTGAAAACCATGTCCCATAGATTGCTCAATTGATACTTCAAAGCTTCACCCAAGCAGATTATGTGACCAGAATCAAATCAACATACTGGATACAGAACTAAACTGACTTGCTTAAACTAAAAAATGGACACTAAAAACGGGGAAGAAAACATAACAGCTGCATACAGCCCCCACCACAGACACATAACAGTTAAATAATAGAATCACCAAAAATGACAAGCTGCCCAACAGGATCCACCAGTAAACATGATGGTACTTGTGAACCTAATGTTGCATATGCTTAGCAATTAAATTCAGGCTTCCTTTTTCCATACGTCCCAAAATAAACTCAACACTACTCACATTTCCTTTTAAGGAAAGGAATACATGTTCACAACAATTATCGTCTGAAAATTATTTCCAACATCACACTCTTCAATTTTCAACACTTTTATTAAAATCTACGGAACTGTGGAGTTAATTTTGGAAAGGGTATATATGAGTAACATACTTAGTACATACGTATATAACAAGGCTAAACTTCACCATTGGTCCTTTAACTTTATGAGTGGTACACGATTGGTCCTTCAAGTTTCAAAAGTCTATAAATAGTCCTTCAACTTTATGAGTTGTGCACGATTGGTCCTTCAAGTTTAAAAAGTCCATAAGTAGTCCTTCAAGTACACGTCAGCCCTCCAGATGAAGTCTTTTTTACGGTAAACGTTAAAAGCTAAATGGAGTATTAGCTCCATATAATACAGAGCAGTCATACCTAATGGAATTTACTTGTATTATATGGAACTAGTATTCCATTTAAATTTTAATAATTACTGTCAAAAGGACCTCATCTGGAGGGTTGACATGTACTTGAAGGACTACTTATAGATTTTTTAAACTTAAAGGACTAATTGTGCACAACACATAAAGTTGAAGGACTGTTCATGAACTTTTGAAACTTGAAGGACCAATCGTGCACAACTCATAAAGTTGAAGGACCAATGGTGGATTTTAGCCTATATAACAACGATAGGAGGCAAAAGAAAATGCATAGTACTTCGTGTATCAAATAATTAGGAGAAGACGGAAATGGCATATTGATTGGCGTACGGAAGATTATCTCCCAAAACACATTATGAATAACTAAAAGTGACTAATGAACTCCTCCATATGCTCGTACAAATGAGCTCCTGCAAAAACTTATCAACTTATGTGTATTACACGCTACAGACTACAGTGACGTGTTCCAGCAAGTGCAAATAAATACTCCGTACTACATTTGCATAAGAATCCATGAATTTCAGCAGGATTTGACAATTCGAGAGATCTCGAGATCCAATTCCTCTCAAATTCCATCAAATTTTGAGAAAATAAAGGAAGGAAAACGAAAACATCGTAGAACATCACATTTGATAAGAGGAGCAGAGACGTACCATCTCATTCCGAGGCACCTCTTCACTGAAGTCCGTCTAAGCTCGAGCTCATACGTCGCCGGAAAAAAGGGCCAACAACGAGGCGGTAATAAAACGATCCAGAGGCCTAGATCACGATCTAGAACAAAAAACCGCCCAAACAATGCCTTAGGCACGCGGCATTCTCCTGAAACAGAACGAACCGAGTCGAAACAAAAGATCAGAACGCTTTCGCCGTCCGAGTAGGCTAATTCTCCCACAAACTACAGTCAGATGACAAATGGAAGATGCTTCTGCGTAGTAATTGGTGAAATTCCCCGCCGGAGAAGAAGTCCCGACGGTGGCGGTTACCGGCGTTTACCGATAAGCTAGAGAGAGAAAGCGGAGGGAGGAGAAAAGGGCAGAGGTTGGTTCTATAAAAGGGAAAATACGAAAATTGAATCGTGGCATTACGTCAGAGCACCACATAAAAACGTTAACGAAATCGCGAGCCTTCTCTTTTTCTTTTTTTTCCTTTTCAGGACTAGTATATTACTAATTCCGTCCCTACGAGCCATTATTATACATTTATTTAGACTACTCGTGGATAACTTTATTTTAATACTCCTTTCCTTCCAATTTATTGGCAACGTTTTGAAAAAAGTGTGAAATATCAAATCTCTTCTATAAAAAAGAATATTTACAGAATGATAGAGATTTAAAAAATAAAAATTACATCGTCTAAAAGTATATCAAAATTTTATAAAATAAAATGCGACAAAAATATATTTTATTTTATCAAATAATCGATCAAAATAAATAAACAAACAAAAATTATCGAGAGACTAAAATAATAACTATGTCATTTTTTAGGACGGAGGGAGTATTAGATTTTGATATTGGAATTTTATTTATTGATAAATGATCTAAGTATCTCTATGCTCTACTTAACGACTATATATATGTATATATATGAAACACATAATATCAAATTTTGCGTATAATCCTTAGATTAATAATATCATTTCAATAAAATATTAAATACGTCGTATAGTATATTTCCTCCGTCTCAAATTAGATTTCAATCTTTTTTTCTCTTCTCCCAATAACTTTTATTTATTTGTGTGATTTCATTGATTATTTGGTAAAATAAAATATTCTTGTCACTTCTCGTTCTGTAGAATTTTTGACGTAGTATGTTAATATGTAATTTTTGTTTCTTATTTATGTATCAATTTATAAATAAAATGATTTTAAAAGATGAGAAGTTTTGACTCGTAACTCTCAATTTGTAATCAAATTAAAGATATGTTATATGTTATATATACCACCTTTGTCTCAAATTGATTGCTACCCGTAATCATTTGGTTTATGATTTTTGATTAAATCAAATGGAAGGAGTCTAAAATTTACCTATATCAATAATAAACTAAATTTTGATTTTATGATGCAAGGCGTAAAATTTTGATAGCAAACATACAATGTTAGTGAATATAGAAAGTGTTCTTACTAATTTTGAGACATGTTAAGAGTACACCAAAATGGTGTACCCTATTTGTACATCAGGTAAATATAGATACCAAATGTTTGTGATCACAAACACTTAGTATTTGTATTTGCCTGATGCACAAATGGGGTACACCAAAATGGTGTATTCATAGCTTTATTGAATAATTTTTCATCCAAAACTAAGATTTAACGTTTGAACAGATGTGATTATTAAAACAAGTTAAATTCATCGCTTGGAATTATGCATATGAGAGAGAAGTTATATAAACTATATATCTTTTATATTCAGAGGAAATTATAACCTATTGCATGTAGTGTTTTATTACAGATCAAAATTGTTGATTTTTTTGGAGGAAGAGGTTATACTATTTTTAACTCATTACACTCTTTATCTAAAAAAAATTCTTGCACTTTTTGTTGTTTATCTCAAAATAAATAACAAATTCTAGCGCTAATACTTTTCTCGTAATTAATTTGTTGAAATAAATATGTGATCCACATTAGTTTTTTTCTTCATAACAAGATCAAACTAATAAATATGGTCGAACCATATTTGTTTCCCCTTATATTATTCTACCGGTTTTTGTTTAAAAATACAATCAAATCACTTATTGTTTTTTGCATCCTTATATAATTGTTGAAGTAGTAATTTAACACGAAGTACAAGATTTTTTATTTCTCAATATTTCAATAATTTTCATCAAATCATTGTGAGATGTAAATTTACTTCTTTTGGATATTTGTTCTTCCAATCATATGGATTATTTTTTTTACTAGACCTTATATAGAGAACTTTGTACATGTACATAGAATATCATGTGATGGAAGTGTAACAAAATGGGGGGGAAAAAATTGACTTGAACTACACTTCAAGAATATAATGGATGCCTTTAGCATTTTGCAACATGCATTAACATGGAGAAGTTGACTTTAAGAATGTATGAAGCTCACTGTGGCTACTTTTCCTGCCAAAAGAGGAATGTGTGTTTGCACTTTATATGTACTCAACATATATGATTGAAGCCATCTAATTAAATGTGTTGACAAATTTAAGTCACTCAATCTAAGTAAAAATAGAAAAAATAGAAAAGATTAATGTCATTAATAAATGAGTTATGTTACTGTGGTATTAATTAAAATCCACACGTGAAATATCAATTTCTCATGTATTTTTCTAATTATGCGTGCTCGTAATTGAGTCACTTTCTTTTTTATAAAATCTAATACGTATAATTATTTTATGATGGTGTAAATTACCTAACCGGGTAAACAATCACAAAGGGAGAGATTTTATACTCCTTCCGTCCTATAATGATCTTCCCAGAGCATCTTCACGGGAATTTATATTTATTTGTATTTTTTCATGGCCTATATGATAAAATAAAATATTCTTGTCACCACTTATTTTGTTGAACTTTTGGTGTAGTTTTTAAATATGTATGTTTTATTTTTTATTTCTATACCAATATTTAAATAAAATAGATTGAAAAAACTTGGAATTTTTCTTCGTTTTGGGAACCGGGAAGATCATTATAGGAGGGAGGGAGTAATTATTAAGGTCTATAAAATTAGTATGAATCTCAAAATGATAAGGGAATATGCCTAATTGGAGACATGATCGTGACCAATAGATAGAAATTGGCCACAGAATTGAGAAAATGAATGAATGGATATGATTCCAAGATTCGTATATAACATGAGGTGCAACCATACATTCATTATAGGCAATGCTTGTTTCCATGTGGATTTGTTTCATTCTTTGTTTAATTTTGGTCTCATCTGCTTTAATTTAAACTTGTTTGGGAACAGAATGAATAACAAATTTAGGCATTATTGTAACTTAATTTGTGCAACAAAGAAATTCCTAAAAAAAAGTATTTAATTTTTACATGTTCAAAGATATATTATTAAAATTTTATCAAAAATATTAGAGCACTGAAAATTCCGAGCTTCAAATCGGGTTTCAAACTTTTTATTTGTGCCAAAAGCTATACAAAACGAGAAGTGACAAAAATATTTTATTTTTTTAAATAATCAATAAAAACCAATAAATAATCAATAAATAAAAATTCATGTGATGATTGAAAAAAGAAATGTGTCAAATATTTTAAAACGGAATTAGTAATGTTTTGATAATGATGCATTGATTAATGGTTGAGAAATGAATGTGGGTGGAGATTCGATAAGACAGGGGGGTGGAAATCCACAATCTTTTGGGCAGACTTAATTGTTCCCAATCAATCATCAATCTTCTCATCCCCCAACTATCACCTAACCCTTCTCTCCCAATCCAATTCCAAACATATTCCCTGTAATTTTTGCTCTAAAAATACCGTAGTAAAACATTTATGAAAAAGAAAATTGCTAAATACAGAACACTCTAACTTTGAAATTATCTTTGATACTACATTTTCACAGAAATTTATTGATATATGACACCATTCTATATCTGTGAATACACAAATATATATATATATATATATATATATAGGGACCGGTTCCCGTGAGAATGCATCTTGTGGAAAGAAATGAGAATAAAATCTAGCCGTCGGATCTGATGCATCCTGCGGCTCAGATTGCATCATGCGCTCAGATTTTGAGATAGTGTATTTTTGAAGGTTTATGGTGCATTTTGACGTGATGCATTTTCGCACCATTTTGGTGCATCTAATTTTGATGAAATCTTGACCCTTAGATCTCACAATCTAAAGCACCAGATTCATTCTCATTTCTCTCCTAAGATTGCATTCTCACCAGAACCAAAATATATATATATATATATATATATATATATAGAACTTGTTCATTATAAAGAGAAAAAATTTCAAATACTTATTTCATATTTTTAACTCTTTTTGAAAACGACATGAAGTCAAATTGTGCTCATTAGTTCAAGATGGATGGAGTACAAATTAATATTCCTCATTTCAGATATTTATTATTGCATTTACTTTATGGCTAGACATATTATTAAATTGAAGTATGTGCATTTAATAATTGGTCAATGGCTCAATGCTTATTGCACTTCAATAATTTGTCATTTTGTTCTCATCCTTTAAATTGTAGGAAAATGCACTTTTTTTAAATACTTATTGCATATAATATATAAAACTAGTGTACGAACCAAGGAGCAATACTAACTAGAGTCACCAAACAATGAAACAAACTCTAATATTACTCGGTTCACATATCACCGTGTTTCTCTCCATAAAAAAAGTAAATTGCAAATTTTTACTGAGCACTCTGCATTTTTTAATCTCATTGAAGTCAGAGTGATAATAATTCCTCCTGCGCCGTGATTAACTTTATACTTGGTATTGGTTTTCATGCGTTAGAATATCTAATTTTTTTCAAATAAATGAATATATGTAATACTCCCTCCTTCCCAAATTAAATTGGAGTACATATTACTATTTACATGGTCAAATCTCATTCACCTATTTTCTCTATTTTTGCTAGTAATTTGATAAAATAATATAGTCATGTCACTACTAGCGTTCTAGATCTTTTAATATAGTTTTTAAATATGTAATTTTTATTTTTTAATTTTAAACCATTTTTATATAAAACAATTTAAAAATAACCTCAATCAAACATTATAAATTAAAGTAGACGATTTAAATTGGGACAGAGGGAGAAATAATTCTTTTTCTTTTAGTTTTGGTTGAATTTTGTAAAATCAAAAAATAAATATAATTATGAAGCGAGGAATATGTTGGTAAGAACTGTTAACAAAAAGTCTAGCCCTCGCAAACAACACAATAAAACCAGTCATTTAGCTGATTTAGCTGATGAGTGTTGCGCAATTGGCAAACGCAAAGAATACCAAAGGGTAAGACCCAAGTTCAATTCTTAGCAATTGCACTGGAAAAAAAAGTATACTTAGCATATAATCTCTGCAAGAATTAGATACAACTTCACTTTTTACTACCAATCTGCAATGAAAATCTAATTTACCTC